TTAGGATAATTTTCGCGTATAGGCATAAAACTTAAAATAATATCAGGTTTTTTACTTTCAATTTTTTCTTTCAAAAACAGACCAGCTAAATCTCTTCTTTCACATATAGACATGCACTGCTATCTCAACTAATAAGAAGCGAAATGCTAGTCATCTCGTACATGCAAAGTAGATGAAGCATTACATGGTAGAAGTGAGGTTACGGAGTATTATATATTCAAAAAGTTAAACCTTAGTTTTAGAAATTACTCAAGTTTTTGAAAAAGAAAAACTAATAAGGAGTACGTAAAATTTAATTAAAAGGTCAAAAAAAGGTGGAATAATTAGACAAATAACAAAATTCGAAAAACCTAAAATCATTATTTTTAAAATAAAAAAATCAAAGTTAAAAAGAAAAAATTCAAAAAGTGCATAAAAAATCAAAATTAAACCTTGTGACATAAATTATCAAAAAAACATATAAAAAAATGTAAAACGTATCTAAAAGTTAAAAGTACATAACTCAAAAATAAAAATCTCAAAAAATAAAAAACAAGTCATTTGTAATCATTTGTTTTAAATATCTTATATACTTTATATAAAAATTATAACTATCAAATAATATTAAAATTGAAAGTAAACATGTAATGATATCATATTTTAAAACTATTAACATGGGTAAATGGTAATTTTTCGAAAATCTAAAAACTAAAACTTATAAACATAATATGTTAGAGCATTTAAAAAACGTAATATACACAGAGTCACGGATAAAATATATATATATATATATATATATATATGTAGTTAATATTGAAAAAAAATTGAAACCAGATTATGTATATTAAAATAAAATAGAGAATAAAATTCTTAAATTGTTATAAAATCTAAAAATTAAAGAAAAAGTAAAAATAATGAATATATGTAAAAAAATAAAAAATTGAAAATGTTGAATTTTGTAATTCAAAACTTTTTACATAGCGTTTGATTAACATTATCATTATTATTTATATTATTATTTGAATTTTGAATGGTGCTTTTTGTTACACAGTTCCCCGGACTGTGTGTATTGTTGTTGATAACTTTGAAATTTTTGTTTCCTTTTGTTTCTCCGTGTTTGTTGTTGTTGTTGCTATTTTCGTGAAATTTTTTATTTCACGAAAATAGCAAAAAATTAATAGAAACATAAATAACTAGAAAAAATAAAAAACGACAATAAACAACAAAAAGCAACAATAATTGTTTCGATGATATTGTACTTAAACATGTGCTACTACCTCAAGAGAGCATTGATGATGTGTGTGTGTATAATGAGTGATTAATTATTCAAGGTGTAAATCAACAATAAGTAACTAATTAAGGCAATGTTGCGGCGTGTCAAATGAGTAACTGAGTGGAAACTAATCTTGTAATGCCTGATTGATAGCTAATTACCATCATATAGGGATGTCATAACATTTTAAGCTTCAAGTGCAACTACAAATGCTTCCAAAAATGTTTCACTTGAACTGTATCAAGACCTTCCATCTTAGTCACATTAGCATATCACATCCTCAAACATTACAACTATTGTTAGAGTTGCTTTGCGTAGTACCTTGCACTAATAAATGTAGCTAGCATATGTTTCAAAATCCCAATCCGTTACTTAAACATAACTTGATAAATCAACAAAAAAGCAACACAATGCAACAAAAAGCAACACAATGCAACAAAAACAACACAATGCAACAAAAGGCAACACAATGCAACACAAGCAACACAATGCAACAAAAGCAACACAATCCAACAAAATGCAACACAATGCAACAAAAAGCAACACAATGCAACAAAAAGCAACACAATGCAACAAAAAGTAACACAATGCAACAAAAAGCAACACATACAGTGCAACAAAAAGAAACAAAAAATTAGAGTTAAGACTTTGGACTAAAAGTTCAAAACTAGCTAGCAACCCTTCCGAAGGGGGACTAAAAGTTCAAAACTAGCTAGCAACCCTTCCGAAGGGGACTGGAAAATAGGGATAAATTAGTAGAATAAAAAACCTTTCCACCCCTTTTGTCCTCTATGAAATCCCCTAACCAAACAAGCCATGAAGGAAAAAGCATTTCAGAAGTATAGCATTTCCCAAATCTGAAACGGCAAGAACAAAGCTCCATTTCAATCAACTATAGGTGTTAAACCATCCCCACATTGTACAAAATCAGTGTAAAGTTGTTGAATTCATTCCGATGGAATTAATACAGTCTGAACCGACAATAGAAGTTTGTATTAAGTAAGGAATGAATCACTAATGGCAACAATACGATTATGCATATAATATTATAAGCAAGCTTCTAACAGACTTCCAACAAATAAACTAAAATGTTAATAGTATATATGATGCTAACTCTTTGATCAGTTTGTACATAACGTTGACAAACTTGTTGCCTCATAGCGTGTCAAGTTATGTTTGAACAATTTACGAGAAAAAGTTGTTAATGGAGTTCACCCGGCCAAACTCCAAGAACCTGAAGCTCAAGAACAAATCTCAAGTAGAGAAAAGGGGAATATGACCATAGATGAGCTTAGTTCTCTCTCGCCGATTCTAACTTTTATTCTTTCACTTTTCTCCTAATTAAGTGCAACAGGTACATGATCAATGTGTAATTTGATTTTTTGGCAAAATGAGTTGATATTACAAATTCAGTGTTCAAACTCAGAGTAGACATTGATATGATCTCTTATTCGCTATAACATAGTCACAAAACATATCCCTAATGAGCAGCAAGTTGTGTTCAAACTTATAGATCTCAGATTAGTGATACTAATTTTTATCAAAATGCACAAATACAGTTTTAATAATTCCACATATGACACAATAAAATCAGAGAAAAACAATAAATATTTTCATATGAAGTCTACTAATTCGGAAATAAAGGGCATCAACAACAGGGAAATCTTAAACACATACCTGTAAATTAGTTAGCGAGGCAGCCAAACAACGACCTAGAGAGCAGTGGAGCAACCAAGCAGCAAAGACGGAGGCCGGAGACGCGGAGGCACAGAGGCCAGAGGCACGGAACGGTGAAAGCTGGTGGCGTTATGGGCAAAGGCCAGAGCCGTGAATGCCCTAAGCCGCGAAGGCTGGAGGCGCGACGACGTTGAGCCGTGAAGACTAGAGACCGGATGTGCCGAGTGCGAAGGCGCTGAGCCGCGAAGAAGACCAGAGGTCGTGAGCCCGTGAAGATGGACGAAGAGCTGAGAGCCAACAAACGTGGATTACTCTCTGAGTCTCGTCTCTCACTGGAGGTTTGGATTACGAATTAGGATTGTTTTTGAAATAAATAAGTTAAAAGTGAAATGGGCAAAGTTTATAAATGAAAACTAAATAACCAGGAGACATAAATGAAATACAATAAGATAAAGTAGACTCGGCTGGATATTTCCACATTTTTATCAAAGTAACATGGTAATTATGCATGTTATAGATCGAAGGAAAGTGCATTAATATTATGTAAAAATGCATCAAATAGCACAAAAAGATGCACTAAAAAATCGTTTACTAATGATTATGGTAGCGATCTACGCTCTTAAATACAAGATACACTTCGAGTATTGCATATCCAAATTCAAATTTATACAACAACGATTTCTCTATCAAAAAGTCTCTGAAAAGATCTAATACGTATTTCAAATTTTATTCATTTTTTATTTATCGAGGGCTTGGATTCGTTCTCACATTTCATGAAAATGTCCCTTTTCATTTGATCATTCCCATATATATACACTTTTTACATACAAAAACAACATATTTACTTTATGGGATATAATATTTTTCTTAAAAGCTAGCAAGAGTTAATATTAGCTACTCTGTATAGTGTGTTTGTATATGGTTAATAAATTACTCCCTCCGTATTAAAAATGTTTCCCAATTTTCCTTATTTAGCCGTTTAAAAGGTTTGTCATTTCCTTTTAAATTAAGAAATTTGTGGTTCATACTATTTTTTTCTATACAAATTTTAATCACAATTTTTTCTAAGTGCAAGTTAAAGTTGACCAACCTTAATTTATAGGACAAAGGGAAGTATTACATATGTTATTTTTTTGAAGAAGATATTACTTACTGCGTATATTTTTAAAATTAATTTATTATTTTAAAAAAATGTTACAACTAATTACACTTTAAAAACACGCTTCTATGTAAGAACCGGCTAAAATGATCTTTTTGTTTTAAAAGATCTTTTTACAACTCTTTTGCACGTAGCTTCACAAATTATTTTATAAATTGTCCATTCGACCCGCACAGATAGCTCAGTTGGTCCAGTGGTGGAAAATTTGAAGCATTGACAACGGTTCGAAACCCACAACGACTGTGTGAAGGTTACAACCCCTGCGTGTTGGACTGAACCTCTGTTGCGCACGGGTATAAGGTCTGCCATCATTGGGCCGACTGAGTCACTGTGACTTACATCCTCCCGAAAATCCTATCCGATCGGGGTGTAGGGGACCTTGGGCCCGGGGTTAGGGATTAACTTTTTTGGAACATTATATATTGTCCCTTTGTTTTTTATAGCTATGTGTGAGGTCATGATAGGGTCATCATATCACAAAGTGAGTAATTCCTCCTCTTAATGGGCCCTACTCATCAAATGATTGATTGTAGTAACATTTCTCCAAAAGATTGATTCCATTCCCAAAATGTCTAATGAGCATTTATATTTCTGCACACCAGATATATAACCCAATACACATGAGCGGTAATCAATCTCCAAACGGTTATTCCAAATGATTATTAGAGTTTTGATATTTCACCATTCATCCAAACTTTTCATCACTTGACTAACTGATCTACCCATTTGGGTATTCATTATAGGGAACAATTAGTGCCGGTTCTGGAGGGAGGGCAAAGGGGCTCAAGCCCAGGGCCCATACTATATATGGGTCCCATAATTTATAAGTATTTATTGTTATTATTATTAAATAAATTCTACCTTTAATATATACTATGAACCCCTTACGTAGTTCATACAACACCTATGCGCCGTAATGATTAAGGAAATGGTAATTGGTAAGTAGCTATGCCTCTTCCCATTCTCTTCTCCTTCTCTTGCCTAGAAAATCATACGGAGTAAAATTTAAAGCTTCAATTTCTCATTTAAGGGGTTTATCTTCTCTTCTCTATTATATTTTAAAGAGTAATTGGTAAGTAGCTTTGATTTGTCTTTTACAATTTCAATTCAGCTATATTTAAACTATAGTTCTAAACCATGCATCCATCTTCTACTCTTCTTTCTTCCTGTGAACTATTTTAGCAAAATTGTTTTTTTCAAAAGTTTAGCAATATTGTTAGCAATTGGTGTTCTAAATATATAATTCAAATTAAATTAAAACCGTGCAATGAATTAAAATCTAAATCTTGATTGAATTAAAAACCTTTAATTTGATTGTTGATGTGCATATCATTTGGTTGATTAAGGGTTGTGTTTTTAATTTAAAAATATTGAGGGCCTCTTTCGAAGCTTCAATGTCTGAAGAAAGTGCATTATTTCATGACTTCACAATTTTATGTATTGAGAAAACGATAATGTTGGTTAAGATTGACTTTGATACTATCATAGATGACTTTGGCACTTTGCATCCAAGAATTTTAGAAGAAATTGGTTTTTGTGAACTACTGAGTATTAGTTTTAGGAAGGAGGTTGATCTTATTTAATTTAAAGAATTTATTATTAATAGTAAATATCTCTTGTTCTACATCTTTCTAATATTAAGGGTCTTTTTTCTAAACATGTCACGGGTCTCTAAAATGTCAGGAACGGGCCTGGGAACAATAACTTATAATATGTGAAGTGGAAGATGATAGGGAGTAGGAGCTTGCAACTCTCCCTTCTTCTATTTGCTCTACTATGAGCTGGACCCTGCTGGTGGGCTATGCTAGGCTTTAGTCCGTCTGGAGAATCGGAAAACTCCTGTTTTTTACGAGCAAGTCGTCTTCATCGCATCTACTTCAAATTTACAAATTAAAGCCTCATGAAGACGGCTAAGTTGTTAATTGGCAACACGTCAAAGTTTTCAGCACATTCGAGCTCTTGCAAAATCACTTGTTCAAGACTAACCATTGTTAAAACACTTGATCGAAATTACTTTAGAATTAATATTTTGAAAAATAGTATTACCTCTGTCCCACTCAACTTTGCCAAGTTGATGTTAGGTGGAAAATTAAAATAGTAAAATTTGTGTGGTTGAGGTTTGTGCAAAGGAGAGAGAAATGAAGAGAATCACAAAAACATTGCTTTAAAAGGAAAGTGTCAAAGTTTTTTAGGACAAACAAAAAAAGAAAGTTGGCAAAGTGCAGTAGGACGGAGAGAGTATTGGTTGCTGCAAAAATTATATACGCAGTACATTTTTTCTACAAAAGACCAACGCAGAGTCAAAAGTAAGAAGGGAAAAGTACGGAAAAAGTACTTATGGTTGGGCTCATTTTCAAATAGGGTCATGTGTTTCATTCTTTATCAAAGTAGTTCATGTGTTTGAATTTCGTTATCACAAGAGGGTCACGCCGTAAAAAACGTCTGAAAATGACCGTTAAAAGTAATTCCGATTTTCAAAAGTGTCCGAACAATTAAAAGAAAAATACGGAAAGATGGCCGAAAAAAAGGTCATTCCGTTTTTTAAAAATGATTTCGCTAATATCACTTTTCCGATGGACTTTCTTGTGACAAGAGTGGCTGAAAACAAAAAAGAAAGATGGCTTAGCGGTCGTCTTATTGAGGCGCATCTTCCGGTATTTTTATTTTAATTTTTCACACTTTTGAAAATCAGAGTTACTTTTAACGGTCTTTTTCAGACGTTTTTAACGGCGTGACCCTCTTGTAATAACGGAATTCAAACACATGAACCACTTTGATAAAGAATGAAACACATAACTCTATCTGAAAACAGACTCAAAGTACCTTTTCCGTACTTTTACCAAGTAAGAAATATTTTACAAGTAAAGCAAAATAAATTATTGCACAAATTGTACACATGCATTTTTCATTTTTCTCAAAGTTTGTTTAGCCACCGATGGAGTTTGTTTATCGAAAACCCCTAAATTTCAATTTGACCATGTCTCCGAGACTCAAATCCAAAACCTTTTAAATTTCAAGTGTGGTCTATCCTAAATACGTGTTTTTTAATGCGTACAAATATTCCTCTTATTTTGTTTTTTGTTTTCCTTCTTAGTGTTGTCCCTGAGGGGTTACTGCAACTAAAAGTTAAACTCCTTTAGCACAACGCTGCATTTCCCTGCACTCTAGTATGATGACCCTTCATCAGAAACCTTGTGGCAAAGCAAGGGATTAGTCTTACATGATGATAATATGCAAGCGACAATTTGTCAAACATCTTATAGCCAATATAAAGAATGTTAATTCACTCTCATTGGCGCAGCAATCAAGGATGTGTTCCTCCTCTCAGAATGCAAAGTTCTGGATATCGCCACAGAAGTCCCGTCTCTACGTTTCATTCTTCTGTACCCTCATCCACATCTTCCTCCGCTGCCGTCGGTTCTCGATGGCACATGCCGCATTCTCCACCATGCGGGGTTGCAATTTGGTCCCCGACCTCTGTTTCTGGAACCGCCTACTGCTACAGTTTAACATTTTCGGGGATGTTGATCAGGTGATGCTTCTGTACTTTGATATGCTCTCTTGTGGAGTTGTTCCAAATGTGCACACCCGAAACGTAGTGATACATTCTCTCTGCAAAATAGGGAACACTGAACAGGCTATCCAGTTAGTTAGGAAGAACGAGAGTGATAATGTTAGTTACAATACTTTGATATGGGGCTTTTGCAGAAAGGGGCTTGTAGAAGCTGGGTTCGGGCTGGTATGTGAAATGGTCAAGAAGGATATTTCTGTTGACAATTTCACTTGTAATATACTAATTAAGGGGTTCTGCGAAAGGGGTTTGCTGCTTAAAGCAAGATGGGTGATGGAAATGTTTTGCCATACCGATCAGGCTATTTGTAAAGATATTGTGGGGTTTAACACCATTATACATGGCTATTTTAAGGCTCATGAAGTGAGTGATGGTCTTGAGATTGCAGAAGGTATGGGTCACGAGGGTGTGTTGCCTGACATTGTTACTTACAATATTTTGATTAATGGATTCTGCAAAATGGGAGATTTTGCTACTGCCAAGAGTCTAATGGAAGAACTCCTGGAGTGTGGTAATGTTAACTCCACTGAAAATATGGATAGAATGTTATCTATAAAACCTAATGTCATTACATATACCACACTTATAAGTAACTTATGTAAGCAGTCCGAAATGGATAAAGCACTATGTATGTATGAAGAGATGACTAAGAATGGGTTACTCCCAGATCTTGTTACTTATAGTTCCCTAATACATGGGCTTTGCAAATGCGGAAGGATTCTTGATGCCAAACAAATCTTTGAGGAGATGAAGATTGTCGGGGTGGACCCTAATCACATTACCTACTCTATTTTGATTGATTATTTGCTTAAACATGGGGATGTATGTACTGCTTCTGCCCTTCAATGCCAAATGGTGGTTCATGGAATAAGCTTTGATAATGTGGTATTGACCAGTTTGATGTATGGGTTGTTTAAGGCTGGGAAAGCTAGGGATGCAGAGAGAATGTATCAAACTCTTATAAATTTTAATATGGATCCAAACTATATCACTTATACAGCATTATTAGATGGCCGAATCAAATGTGGAGACATGGAGAGTGCAGAGTTTCTTTTGCAAGAAATGGAACAGAAAAAGGTTGTGCCCAATATTTTTACATTTTCTGCTTTAATTAATGGCTATGTCAAAAGGGGAATTCCTGATGCAGCTATGGCTTCCATGAAGAAGATGGTGCACAATAATGTCATGCCTAATGTGTTCACATATGGTAATATGATTGACGGTTGCTTCAAGGATGGTAAGAAAGACATGGCTCTTTCCCTCTATGAGGAGATGAAATCATTTGGAATATTAGATAATAATTTTGTACTGGACGCTTTCGTAAATAATTTCAAAAGGCAAGGAAAGATCGAAGAAGCAGAGGCCTTACTAGGAGACATGGTATCTTCGGGAGTCAAACCTGATCTTGTTAACTATACATCACTGATGGATGGGCTATTTAAATCAGGGAAACACTCAGCTGCTCTTGAATTGGCCCAAGAGATGAAAGACACAGGTTTAGGGTTTGATACAGTTGCTTACAATGTAATGCTGAATGGGCTGTTAAGGAGTGGGCAATATGAAGTGTACTCTATTTACAGTGAAATGAAACACTTTGGTTTAGTTCCTGACCTTTTGTCTTTCAACACTATGATCCATGCTTGCTGCAAGGAAGGTAAACTGGAAAACGCTTTCAATATTTGGAAAGAGATTAGTGGCCATGGACTAAAGCCCAACTCAGTTACGTGTAATATTATGCTGAGGGGACTGTGTGAAGTTGGCGAAATTGATAAAGTGATGGAATTGTTAAATGAGATGCAGAGAACGGGTCTTCAGCCTACACGATCCATTTATAAAGTCTTGATTGGTGTTGCATCTAAAGATAGGAAAGCTCAGAGGATTCTAGGAATGCATAAACGACTTATAAGCATGGGGCTTAAGGTTGACCAAACAGTTCACAACACCCTCATAAGTACATTTTGCAGGCTAGGGATGACTGCATGTGCAACATCACAACTAGAGAAAATGAGAGAAGGGGGATTTTCCGCTGACGTTATTACTTACAACTCATTTATTCATGGATATTGTAAAATATCCTTTACTAATAAAGCTTTAGAAACATATTCTAAGATGCTTGTTGAAGGAGTTTCTCCTAATGTTGCAACGTACAATCATCTTTTTGAAGGTCTAACTGCTTCTAGAAGGTTTCAAGAAGTAGCTGTCTTACTTGAGGAGATGAGGCTAAGAGGTCTTGTCCCTAATGCTAACACATTTGACACTTTAATCTCAGGGTATGGAAAGATGGGATATAAAAAGGAAGCCATAATGGCCTATTGTGAAATGATAACAAAAGGCTTTGTTCCTCGTATCAGTACTTATAATGTGCTTATGAGTGAGTTTGCCAAAGTTGGGAAGATGAAACAAGCTCAAGAACTCATGCTTGAGATGCAAGGTAGGGAAGTACAGCCAAATGCTTCAACATATGACATACTTGTTTCTGGATGGTGCAAGCTATCAAAACATTTACAACTTGATAGATATTTTAGAGTGTCTTGCCAAGCTGAGGTGAAGAGGTTACTTCATGAGATGAATGAAAAAGGCTTTACTCCAAGTGAATCCACTCTTTCTCACATAAGTCCTGCTTTGGGAAAACCACGAAAACAAACCCCCTGGTGATTGGATGAAATTTTTACCAGGGAAAAAATTAGTTGACTGTTTATGGGGAAACTGACCTGAACTCCAGGATTGGTTATGTTTGGATTTTAGTACGAAAATGTTGCATGCTGAGCAGCAGAAGTGGTGGTGGAGAAGGCCTATCATATTGACATGAAGGTATGCTAGCATTGCTACTGCCACTGCAATACCTTTTGATGTCATGTCTTTGCTGTAACAATTAGGTGATTAGGTCTTGTTTGTTTAGGGAATTTTGGAGGGTAGAAGAGGATCAATCTTTATTAACTAATTTATCTATACCTGTTAGCATTAACTGTATATTTGGTTAAATCACGTACTCACTCTGTTCTCAAACAAGTCCCCGTTAAGTAAAAACATTTTATTCACAAATAACTTTCCATTGAGCATAGTTGTAGAGTAAATCTTTTTAAAATGACTAAATTACTCTCCCCAATTTATTTCACATTTGCCTTTTTACTTTTAATACCCATAAAATAAAATAATACGGGTATGCTTGTAAAAGAATGACAACTGGACAGCTATTTGAAAATGGAGGGTTTATATTTAAATCTTAATCATCACTCTCTTTCCAACCATCTAAACGTAAGAATAAATTAATAAACAATGTCACCTCACCTCCGAAGTCTCCTAAACCAAACAAGAGCTAACCTTGGTTTTTTTGCTCTGTACTTTTGTTTCCTCATATTCAGACAATGTGTCAAAGAGATGCAAGCAATTGAAACTTAAAGCATAGGAGCGTATAATTTAAGTGGCTTGCTAAGTAGCGGGAACGTGATTGGAAAAGGCGTATGATATTTGACATGAAGGTATGCTCATGTTGCTGCTGGAGTTGCTAAGCATAATTCTGATAGTATGCCTTAGTATGTTGTAGTGTTACCTCAGCGCTTGATCATTTGTTCATAATTTAGTTTTCTCGTACAATTTAGATAATATTATGACCTTTTGGCCGTTAGTTATAATATTTGACGAGTCCATGCAACAAAACAGCTATTCATTAGGCCATATTTGGAATGCAGAAAGTAGCAAGTAAGAAACGCCAAGTAACATTTTTTTAATGTTTGGTTTTATCTTAAAAATAAAAAGGACAAAAAAATTGATAATGACTTTTAAAAAGTTATTTATATTTATATTTCTTAGGTTGAAATCTCGCAGTAGCACGATAGAATTCACTTTAAAAATAGTTTGTTTGATGAGTAATGAATGTTTTCTATATAAAATCAAATTAAAGATATAAATGTGTAACAAAGATTTAATTTATATTTTTTTGAAAGATATAATTCATTACTAATGAATGATAAATTGAAATTATATTTCAAATTTAGACTATGTAGAAAAATTTATGAATGAGAATAAGAAATTCAATAAATCAAAGATAAAAAAATTGAAACACGATACTTATATATTTCATTGATTAAAAAGTTGATGTCCATAAATAGGTGTTGGTCTTGCCATGATAAAAATATCCTTAATATGAGTTCTCGGAATGGCATTAGACCTAAATCGTCTAATCGGCGCTTCTAATTATAAAATGCCTTTGTGCATATATAGTAACTAAAAAATAAGCAATACAATACTATGAAGTTCTTGTATGACATGGAAATAAAATCAAACTTTTCAAATTTTGAAAATTCTATTCATACGCCACTTTAATTTTGAACTTTGCAATTTGTGCCTCATGTTCAAAAAATAGAGAAACACGACCTTTGATTTATTTACAGTTTTCATACTTAATCATCATAGAATAAGTAGTAATACATAAACCAAGACAATAAATATGATAACTGTAAGAAATATACTGAACATTACCTCTTACGTCTCACTATTTGTTTATCCCATTTTTATCTGAATTACTAAGTTTGTTTCGTACTATATTTGGTGATATTTGTTTTGCATCAAACTTATACTTATGATCGAATCTTACATTCATAATCAAAACCAATTCCATAACTACACTTTTGTTATAATGTGTGTGGCTTGCACATTTTATCCCAGAGATAGTGCAACATCATGGAAGTGATATTAGTACATAGTTATTAATAGAGAATATGTGCTCGATTCCCTGGTCTCGCACCTGCTATGTTCAATTGAGAACTGGGTGCTTAGATCAGTTCTTTTTGTTTTATTTCAGATATGCAAGCGAATATAAGTGGCTGTGATTATGCTCAGAGACAATAGTCTTTGTTCGGAATTATAGGTTTAATTGATTATAAACTTGTCAGATGTAGGTGAATGAATCAAACCCTCATTTCATCTTGTAATTTTGGTAGGAAAATTCCAGGTGTACAAGTTTTTTTGTACACTTTTTGTGTACACCCATGGGCGGAGGTAGGGGGGGGGGGGGGGGGCAGCCGGGCCCCGGCCCACCCTAAATTTGAAAATTCTTTGTATTTTTAGTGTAAAAATTTATGTGTAAAAATGTATTTGATTTTTTTTTTGTACCGGCCGACCCCAACCTTCTATCCTGGCTACGCCCCTGTGTACACCTGACACCCCTATCAGCCTATCTTGCATCGAATGAAAGTGAGTGAACAAAGGACCAATGAAGATGAAGGAGGAGTTGGGGAAGAAGCGGGGTAGAGCCGTAGAGGAATTGGTCAGCTCATCAGGCTCATGACCTAAAGATAAGTGTCCAACCAATCATGACAAGCAGCCTTGTCCACCTCTACAATAGCCTCTAGATTGGCCAAGAACTGAAAGGGGTGTTTAGCACCCTTTGCAAAACCGATAAGCGTACCCTCAGAGGTCAGTAAAGGACCAGCTTCTCTGGTATGAAATTAGCCACTTCAAATAAGTTCATTGCTCTGACCCAGAATACTATTCATCCTGGGTTTGTTTTCGAGGCTTCGTTGATTAGTACTTAGGATCTGAGTTCTGCATGATGCCGGAATTGGATCTACTATTAAGGATTGTGCAAGGACAACTGGCGCCTTATGTCCATCTTTACGCAATTCTACCCGGATGCTTAGTAGAATAGGTGCGGCCAGGTGTGCCTGCTATTTTAGAGAGGGTCTTTTCTAGCCCTACTACTTCTTTATGGCCAAAGCGCAAAAGAGCCTGAATGAATAAGAAAGATCATCCTACTTATATTCTTATATCTAAAATGAGTGGAAACAAGCAACCTGACTAATAAAGGTGCTTGTTTAATCAGGCCGGCTTTCGAGCACAAGCCCCTTGTATAGGTTGGGTGCAATTGGGATTGAGCTTTGTGGAATTTCGAATGGAAGAGAGAGAGAGAGAGATTCTAATATAAGAATATAAGTAGGCCTCCCTATCTCCTGATCGAGCTTGTGTAGGTAGATGTTGCCTGGTAGGGCCGATAGTAATACACTGTATTCAAGACTGGTCAACCATTGGGCTACTATGACCCTTGGGCGTTGTTCTCTCTAACATGTAATTTTTATGTTTTGTTTGTCCAGACTAATTTCCCCTTAACAAGTTTGCTAAGTTATTATCAGTCTCCTCTGAACAAACTAACAAAGGATATGGTTTCGTTAATATTAAAGAAGCAAAACACTTTCATGTTTCCAGTACTGATGCCCTATGTAATAATATTTCTTTGACAGGAGCAATGTCATTGAAGCTGGTGAAGTTGAGCCATTACGATCGATGACTGATCCCAATATAAAGCTTCCCAAGGTGTGTAGATGATCCTCATATGGTAGGCCCATTTATAATCTTGCTTCCCATTTGTTGGTAATTGGTGGTATAAACTAAAATGTGCTTTGGGTAGTTTTTTGGCTAAAGGGTCAAATGGACCCTTGAACTGACTTAAAATGTTCAATTAGTCCCTTATCTAGGAGGTTCTGCCCGTTCGTCGCCAATTGGGGTGGTTCCCGGTGAAATTTTTTGATGAAATTTTTTGAGCATCTTCTTCATTAAGTCTAGTTTACCCATACCAAATTTTAGCTAAAAATTCAACCGGGAAGACAGTCAAATGATTTTTTGAAGATAACTTCGAAGTTAAACAACGCAGTACATTTCAGAAAATCATTTGACTTAGCTGAAATTTGGTATGAGTAAACTGACTTAATGAAGAAGATGCTCAAAAAACTTCATCAAAAAATTCCACCGGGAACCGCCCCAATTAGTGATGGCCGGACAGAACCTCCTATATAAGAGGGGCTAATTGAGCATTTAAGTCAGTTCAAGGGCCTATTTGACCCTTTAGCCTTTTTTTTTAATTTTCCCTAATCATAATGACTTTTTACCATTCCTATTAGGCCCTATTTGGTTGGAGGGTTTCGGAGGGGAGGGGAGGAAACTGAGGGATTTGTGTGTGTTTGGTTGAAAGAAATAGGGGGGAAGGGGAGGAAAGTGGAAGACTTTCAAAATCCTCCACTTCCTCCCATTCTAAACCCCCCAAATCGGGGTATTTCGGAGGAAACGTGTTGATAACCACAAACTATCCATCTCCTACGTGAATGAACAAAACGTTATAATATAAAAAGAAAAAAAAACGTTTTGAAAAATTAAAAAATTTAAAAATTTAAAAAATAAAAATTTTAAAAATTAAAAAAATTTTAAAAAAATAAATTAAAAATTTTAAAAATTAAAAATAAAAAATTTAAAAAATTAAAAATAAAAATTAAAAATTCCAAACTGAAAAAAGAAAAATTATAAAATTAAAAAAATAAAAAATCAAATAAAATAAAATTATGACTCATGACAATAGGAGTAATATTCACAATAGTTAGACATGTATCTATTTTTTAAGTAAGCTATCAAATAAAAGTAAATTGCGAAAATAGTTTCATTAAACCTTTCCTCCTATTTCCTCCAACCATCCACAATTTTTTATCAAAATCATTCCTTCCCCTTCCCTTCCCTCCTTGACTCTCCCCTTCCCTCCCCTCCTTTGAACTAAACAAAGCCTTAATGGTAGTGAATGTATGGTAGTCATTTTTTCTTATCATCAAGATTATGCTTATCAAAAACTATTTATTGATTGTGTGGGTTGAACTGGTTAATTATGAGAAGAAGTAGGACTGCAAATACTTCTTTGAGTTGTTGAGGACGATCATTATAGTCCTTTGTATATTCTTTTATTTGTTTAGCAATAAAACATACGTAGTACTTCGTTTTTTAAAGGCTAAAGGGTCAAATAGGCCCCTGAACGTATACAAATTGCTCAATTCGCACCCCGAACTCAAATAACCTCCGATCCGGCCCACCAACCAAATTAAATGCTTCAATCCACACATCCACCCGGTTACCTTCTCGTTCGCCCCCTTAAATGCCCACTCAGCATGTTTTTATTTCTATTTAATGCTGACTCATTAATAACCCCAACCCCAAGCTGACACGTGTAAAACAATTATCCTACACGAAATAGCCCTAATTTGAAAACGTAAAATTGCAGAAGGCTAAGTTAAGTGACCGAAGTCTTGAGCACGAAGAGGAAGAACGAAGTCTTGAGCGCGAAGAGGAAGAACGAAGTCTTGAGCGCGAAAAGGAAGAACGAAATAACCCTTGAAGCCGTTAAGGTCAACGAAGTCACTCAGGTTATTCAATTTTACTCCCGTTGTAGTTTTGTGTCTGTAATAGTTTTGAAGCCGTATATGTCGTAGCATAGCGAAGTGTGTTTATGTGTATAATGTGCTAAGACATTTCATGTCCTTCATCTTTCGTACTGTTTTGCTGAGTCATTTATTGTTTTTTTTTGTTTCAGAATGTGGGAGACATTAACTTAATTTTGAACTATGGTGGCACCCTTAAAATCTCCTCTCCTATGGAATATAGTAATGGCCGCATAGAGATAATTAAGAGTGACCCTGATGTAGTAAGTTATCCACATCAAAAGGTATGTTACCTACACTGAATAATAATACTTCCCTCAACTGAATTACTTAACACTAAATGTGATTACTTAATACTATTTCAGTTTATGTATTGCACTTAATGTATGACTTGTGTGCAGGGTCTTACCAATGTCATTCAGAGCTTACTCCCTCAAGCTGAACATAGAAATTGTGCAAGACACATTCATGCAAACTGGAGCAAGAACCACAGAGGGAAATTCATGAAGCAGTTGTTCTGGATGTGTGCTAGGTCCACATGTGAGACACAACTTCAGGAGTGGCTTCAAGAGCTTCAAAAAAAAGACCCTGCTGCAAGATTTGAAAATATATCCTTTCAAAAACTGGTGCAAAGCCTTCATTAGGACTTCTGTGAAATGTGATGCAGTTGACAACAACATGTCAGAGGCTTTTAATCGTACATTGGTGGGGTGTAGGAGCAAACCCATCATTCCCATGCTAGAAGACATAAGGATTCAAATGATGCAGAGAATTGCTAAGAAGAGGGACCTAGCTGAAAAATGGAAAGGAGGAATCTGCCCTAACATTAAGAAGATTCTGAATGCTAACATAATGCGAAGTTCAAAGTGGAGGGTGGTATTCAATGGAGATGATGGGTTTGAGATAAAGAGGGAAGTATCAATACAAGGTGAAGCTGGAGGGAGGTACATGCTCTTGCAGATCTTGGGAGTTGACTGGAATTCCATGCCAGCATGCTATATGTGCAATGTTTGATCAGGGGAAAGATCCAGAAGGTTATATTGATGACTGTTACTCAATTTCTGCTTTCAAACAAACCTATTCCTACACTTTGGAACCAATCAATGGGGAAAAGGCTTGGCCTACAGTTCAAGGAGAGAAAATACACCCCCCTGCACCAAAAAAAATGACTCGACGCCCAAAGAAAAAAAGAGTTCGGGAGGAATCTGAGCCTTCAGCAGGCAAGCTGTCAAGGAAGGGAAGGGTGATGACATGTTCCCTTTGTAAGCAAAAGGGGCATCAACGCCATGTATGTCCAACAGTTGCACCAGGAAGTCATCAATCAGTGAGGGGAGGTAAGGGTTCCAGAGGTGGCAGAGGAGGAAGAGGTGGAAGAGCTGGACGAGGTCAAAGGGCTGTAGGAGTTGGAACAAGTGAACCTTCCGGGGCTTCAAGAGCTGGAAGAGGAAGGGGTGGAAGGGGAAGGGGGGGGGGGGGGGGGTAAGAACTGAATTCAGTAGGGGGTGTATAACAAATGTAATGCATATTTATGATAGTTTGGTCTTTATGGTTTTTGGGTGGTTAAAGTAAAGGTACTACAGTTTGGTGGATGCTGATTTTGGGGCTTTATGTTAGGTAGTTAAAGTAATGGTCTTTATGTGTTTTGACTATGTAATGGTTGTTTGGTGAACCTACTTATGTATTCGGATGTGTACTGCTGGGTTTACTACTTTAATGGTTTACTTTTATGACATGTGCATTTTTCTTCTTTGTAAAGGTGTGGTCTTGCATAAAGTTGTGGGGTCTTGGATATGCATTATTGGTTTGTGGTGGGGTGTGGGTTATAGTCTGGCTTTATTCGTTCCTGCAGCTTAAAGGGTGGGGTGAGCTTTGGTTTTTAAAAGCAGCAAAGTACTTCTTCAGATTGTACTTGCTTGTTGTACACTTGCTTCTTCAGATTATGGCTCCTTTCTATTCAAAGGCTTTGCCTTTTATCACATGGGTGATGGCACTGATGGGTATGCTTTACAGGCAGATGGTTTTATCACTTTTTGATGGAAAAGGGTAAATGTGATGGGTATTTCATGGGTTGTCCGGATTAGGAGTATCTGTTTTTATGGGTATTTTTTGGCTATTTCTGTGTATATCATAATGATAGTGCTTGACAGATGTGATCAAATGGTAGTTTCTCATTTAAATTGTCATTACAAGTTCTATGAATCACAACAGATATTTACAGAAGTCACAAGACAAGTAACAAAGCTGCATTCTTTTACTACATTGTTAAAGTGGTCCAAGTACATTGAAAACTACAAAACCCACTAATCTATTACAATTTCTTAAGAATAAGAGCTGCAACAACAAACATCACAACCCCTTGACACATTCTCTTCCAAAATGACTCTCTTTAGCTTCACTTTCAAGAATCAGTTTGATGGTTTGTATGTCACGTTGCATAACTAACATCATCCTTTTGAGGTCATGATTTGAGCATTTTTTTGAACCAGGGCCCCCATGTATGCTTCTTTGTCTTCATGCAAACCTGCTAAATCCTCTTTCCATACAAAATATCCGCAGCCTAAACCGTCCTACAATTATCACACAAACCAATTTGTGTATTATACAAGAAACGAAGAACAAAACTATAAACCAATTCCTCTTTCCAATTTATGTTGCTTCAACAAAGAACATAAAGACTACCAGAACCCCCCCATAAAAGCTCTACTTCATTTGTATTACCAAATCAAATTCACAAATACATACCTTCCATCTTTGACATCCATAAAATTGCCGGCCACTTTCCCGGGTTGTACACAAACGAGCTTTGACACCACACAGACAGTTCGGGTCATACGCACTCAGTTTCCTTCCCAGCGAAGAAGAAGATGAAGCCGCCATGGCTTTCTACGAAGAAGAAGATACGCACTCTGTTTCCTCCAGGTTTTAATGGACGAATATGGTTGGATGGAGTATTTAATGAGTCAGCATTCAATGAGATGTAGGTTTAAGGGGAGTTGGGCCAAAACTTGCTGACTGAGCATTTAAGGGGAGGAAACGGGCGGTTACCGGGTAAATGTAGGGATTGAACAAAAAAATGGGGGTTGGTGGATCGGATTGGAGGTTATTTGGGTTCAGGGTGCGAATTGAGCAATTTGTATACGTTCAGGGGCCTATTTGACCCTTTAGGCTCTTTTAAATACTCCAGCTACATAATTTAGCAATTTCATCAACTTCATTTATACTACGACAGTGCGACCCATTTATGGTGTGGCAATATCCAAAGGACTACATACCTAACTCAACTTTTTTTGCAAAAGAGGCGTTCATGGAAGCAGTATTTTACTGAAGGTTCTTTGGACAGAGATTTTATAGAGAATCAAAAGGCTTCTTTCAAAGAAATTGATGAGTTCGAACCGGAAGTGGAGGAATAATCGGACCGATTATTTGAAGAGTAGAGGAGGAGTGCAGTGCACGTTAATTGGTTTGTAATTTGTAACTCTTAATGTAAGAGCCCGTTTGGTAACTCAGTTTTTCCGCTTATCAGGCTTATCAGCTAACTTTTTAATCAAATTCGTACATTTTGATTTCAAGTCCTGAATTGTGTAATAATAAGAAAAAGTAAGGTTGAAGTTACTTTACTAGCTATATTGGCTGAAGTTACTGTATATGACTATTTTAGTTATCCATATAATTTTTTCTTTATTTAATTCATAAAATATATTTTAAATATAATTTTTTCATAAATCAACAGAATCAGTCAATACAACCACTGAGTCAGAACTTCATAAATTTCAACATAATCAACTGATTCAATCGATTCTAGTGTTACCAAACGGGTTCTAAATCTAATGAGCTTAACATATGTATAGCTCGAAAAAGATACAATGTGTATATTTCTTATAGCGGCTCCAAACCCGCAAACCTGCTGTGCCCCTCCGCTCTTTAGATGCTTTTAATTGTTGTACTACAAGATATCAACTAAAATACTAGAACAATTGCCCATAGATTTTTGGTTTCAACTACCTCTGTCATGGATATATTTGGGAGAAAATGTTGAACCCTCAGTTTCTGGCAAACAATTCAATGTAGAATGATCATTACTGTTTATTGTTTGAATTTATCGTTTGAAACCAGCTCACACCATAATATATAGAATGATCATTACCACAGTGGCGCAAAGGTTTCCATCTACGGTGAAGTAAAAGATCTCTTTGTTCCTCCATTGACTTTATTCTTGAAGTTAACTTGGAGTAAATGGCATCATACAAAAAAAGAAATTTTCTTTTCAACAAGCTAAATTTCTTCAGAGTATACGCTGATATTCAACTTTAACTGTATCTCTTTCCAAAATTAATCACATAAAGCTTCTCTTGTTACATTAGAAAACTACTATTTCAATACTCACTCTTAATATCTAATATAGAGACGGCAGTTACCTTGAAGGCGTGAAATCTCCCAACTTGAGGTATCAAGACTTTTTGTGTCTGAAAGAAATAGGCTTAAATAGATAACGCATCATTCAGATGGTGGATAATCCGACAAAAAGAATCTCGACAACCGTCATCTCGCGAATCAGATTCAGAGTTAATCATCTCAAACGAAGTGATATAACTCGCTGATCCATTAATGGGCACAAATGAGCCAACGACGGTTACCCAATCCTTTCATCCCCATATTAAGACTTAAAAAGTGAATATTTGAAGTTGTCAGAGAATTACACTTAACAACTTTTAATAATCACTTACCAATACTTATAATTTTTTTACTACATATTATCTTTGTCCCAAATTATTTTGCAAAGTCAACATTTTTTGGTCAAATAATATTAATGTTAAATACTCCATATTCATAGTTAATTGAATTTTAAAAATTAAAATTTACATATTCAGAAACTACATTAAAATCTCTATAAAGTTGCAAAATCAAATTAAAATTTAATTAAGAGTTGATATCTTAGTTAAATGAATAAAATGAAGACCTTCCTTCATCAAATAATAAGATTACCTCCTATGCAAAAGTGAGATTAGTACATACGAGAGAGATACACGAATTAATTAATTAATAGTACCTATGTCTCGACTATTGACCAATTTAATTTTTTTGGTCAATAATATTAGAGTTTAGACAATGATTTCAGATATTATATTTGTGTGTAGTTTATAAATTTTTTGCTTGTATGAAAGATTTTTTAATAGAGAATATGTTCATATAAATCTAATGTTTTAAATAATTTTGTATTGAAATATATCATTGGCCAAACTTGATAACCATTGACTAGAAAAGGCAATTTCATCATTTTTTGGGACGGAGTATAATACAAAGTACTCTCTCCGTCCCGCTAAGATTGTCTCATTTTACCTTTTCGTGAAATCCCACTAAGATCGTCTCATATCATATTTGTTAATGTTTGTATGACTCTTAATCATTCTTACTTTATGAATTTAATATCAACCACATAAATCTACTTTTCTTAATAACCGTGACACTTCTTCCGTCCAAATGTTACTCGAAAGGAGGTATATGATCTATACTTTCTTTCGACTCATCCACCCTCCAAACAAAAAGAAAGAAACTGCCGGCTCACCATGAATTCAGGGCAGATTGGGCCTTAGGCCATTTAGGACCGAGGCCCACACAAAATTCTAGTATATGGATAGAAAGTCAAGCCCACACCCAAAAAGTAAAAAATTGGCGCTACATGTGAGAAATGAGAAGCAGATAAGTCTGAAGGCTTGAAGCGGTAACAGAAACACGACCGTGTACCTCAGTTCGTCCATCCTCACCGTGAATTGAACTGTCGAAGCAGATCAGCAGGGGAAGAAGACAAGTTGAGCCCTGCCGCCACTCACACCTGTCGGCGTTCTCCACTTCGCCGTAAAGCTCGTTATCGGCCGAATCGACACTGCACTTTTTAATTTCGCAGACCGCAGTTTCCCTACTGCCCCCGTTCTTCTATGCTCCTCGCTCTCTCCTGAGTCCCGCCATGCGCGGATGCGCCCTCTAGCCTCCACCTCTTACTGCTCCTCTGAGTCGCTGGTCTTCCGATTTTTAGGTATATATTTTAATTTCAATTTTATTGTTGTTATGTACTTCGTACTAGTATTATTTAGTTCAGCTTTATACCCTTATAATTTCTGGAATTTGATGGTTTTTGTTATTGTGAATTCATTAAGATTTCTCCCTAGATTTCTGGAATTCACTTGTTAATTTTGATGTGGTTGTGAATTCTGAATTCGGCTTTAGTTCGATACAATTCAGGTTGTTGCTCTGAATTCTGCATTCTGAGTTCTGGAATATACCCAGATTTCTCCCTAGATTATTGTTGTGAATTTAATGAGTAAAACCTACAATTTAATACTCCATAGTTTAGTGTGAGTGTTATTAAGGCTGAACACCCCACCATTTTATTGTCAAACTATGGAGTATTATTTTAGATTGTTGCCTATGTGTTGTTTTTTAATTGTTTCTCTTGCCTTGTACAATTCATCATCATTTTCATTTACTCTAGTGCCGCCAAGGCTCCCACCTACGGTGGAGTAAGGGGGGTCGGATGTACGCAGTCTTACCCCTATACTAAAGCACAGAGAGACTGTTTCCGGATGACTCATAGTGAAAATCGCGTCCAAAATTGCATGGACTGATTGATTCTTCATTACAAAGAAGCGCAGACAGTTTAGTGAGCCATTTTGCTTTATTCCATCATAATCTCAAGCCAAAAAATAATGAATCTTTGGCTCCATTGCAAATGATGGAAATTAATGTGAATATTTTCTTCTCTTTTTCACATATTCTTATAATATTCTCTTTGACCTGTTGCAATTGATGTTATTTTTACATTACATTTTTCCCCCCACTGAATGGTAATGCTAGATCCGGATGGTTGAACCATGGATACTGAATGGAGTCCAAATTCCCTGAGAAGAGATCCAAATTCTAAAACCACGGCGGCTAGCAGAGCGCCTTTTTCAGACATCTCCAACTTTAATATCACTCCAATCGAGACTCTTCGCAAACTCTGCTGCTCCTCCACTACTAATGCCTCCCGTGCCCCCTCGTTTGGGACCTACTCCTCCAGCATTGAATCAACCATTCTGAAATCCCCAATTTCAGTTTTGCTGTCGGACACCAGTGTCGGATCCTCCTCTCCTGTCCTAATACAGAACACCAGAAAGCTCGGGTTATCAGCTCCTCTTCGCATTCCTGTCTCATCTCGTTCATCACATAGCAATTCAGGTAACCCCTCTCTTTGCACTTTTTTATATTTTTATTTTCATTTTGTAAAATAAGACTAGATTTGTCCTTTCAAATGTTATGGTGGGACACTTTGAATGAACAAATGTTTAGTTGTCCTTGAGGTAATTAATTGTCACAGAGCAACCTGTTATGTTAAATTTGGAACTGGGTTATGTCTGCCATATCTCTATTTTTTTTATTTGAGATATGCAAGCGAATATAAGTGACTTTGGTTATGCTCAGAGACAATAGGCTTTGTTCAGGATTATAGGTTTGATTGATAATATACTTTTTAGATCGTATGTGCAAGAATCAAACCTCCATTTCATCTCGTAACTTTGGTCTTCCCCTTCATCCTTCACTGCTCAGAATAGGTGGTTGTGAAATCATAATATAAATTCCCATAGCATTAATTTGATGCGGGCATCATTCCAGTTTGCCTCCTTTTTTTATGTTATGTTATAATTACTGAGCACATACATTCAATATATTTGTCCAATGTTTCATGCCATATTTAAGCAATGTGTACCTTCTCTCCAAAGGTTCTGCAGATGGTGAACCAGAAGTTTATGGTCAAAGTGAGACTCTCTCAAAACCTACAGGAGAAAGTGACGCTACAGTTTTTCACTGCTCTGCAATTCGTGAAAATAAAAGGGGCAAAGTAGATGTAGTTTCTGATGGTAGCAAGAAGGATGATTTGGATCATGCTAGCCAACTTTCAATTGAGAAAAAAAAGAATAAAGGAAAGCAAAGTATTAGTTTGCCTTGTTCCCCACCTCCCAAGGCTAAGAAGGACAGACGAATTCCAAGTGTGAAAGATAAGTCTGATGCAACAATGGCCAAGGAACTGTCTGATGCACCCATCAAATGCTCAACATTAAGGAAGACCAGGGGAAGAAGAAAGCCGGACATTTCTGTTTTTAGTTGCCCTCCTTTGCCACGCACAAGGAATATTAGGTCTGTTCCGCTCTTTCTCTCTGTATCAGAATTCACACTTCAATTATTTTTTGTCAGCAACTCAGCATGCCAAAAATCAAATGCGCCTTGTTTGTGTTTGCACATTTTCATTGAAAATTAGTTGTCATTTTTTTACGTCGTTATTTGTTCAAAATTTTGTGATTCAAATTTTCCAGTTTCAACTTCTTGATTTATGTTTTTGGATAAAAGAGCTTGTATCTCGAATTACGTATATTCTTAGTGACAAATCATCTCCCAACCAAATTCACATTGGAGTGTGAATATTCCAAATCTACACAAAGAAGAATGAAGATGTTGGCAGTTGTGCTTCTTTGAGATTACTTGTTTCTTGGCATATGCCTAGTTGCCTAATGTGAGGAATCTTATTCTGTAATCAAAACATGCAATTTAAGTTTAGTATTATAGACTAATTTCCCCTTGCCAAATTTGCTGAGTTATTCTGTCTTCTCGAGCTAACTTAGAAAGGAGTCAAAGGATATGTTTTCCTTAAGATTAAATGAGCAAAATACTTTCATGATTCCATTACTGATGCCTTCAATAAAAATATCTTCGATAGGAGCAAGGCTATTGAAGCTGGTGAAGTTGAGTCATTAGGATCATTGACTGATCCCAATAAAAAGCTTCCCAAGGTATGTAACTATTCCTCATTTTAGAAATTAGTGGTATAAAGTGCTTTGGGTAATTATTGTATTTTTAGTTTTTACAATTCAGCCCTTGTTTAGTCATTTTTTGCCCAAAACTACTATTAATGGATGTATGGTACTAATGGTAGTCATTTTTCTTGCCATCGGGACTTTTGCTAACCAAAATCTAATTTATTGATTGTGTTTGTTGAATTTGTTCAATATGAGAAAAATAGGATTGGGAATACTTGTCGAGGACGATCATTATAGTCCTTTGTACTCCGTATATTTCTTTTATTTAGTTAGCAATAATATTTTAAAAGTTTCAGTTAATTTAGCAATTTCCTCAACTTCAATAATACTACGACCCAATTTATGGCGTTTCAATATCCAAATGGCTACGCACTTGACTTATTTTTTGCAGAAGAGGCCTTCAGGGGAGCAGCCTTTGAATAACTGGTCTTTCGATAAAGATTTTGTAGAGAAGCAAAAGGCATATTTCAAAGAAATTGATGACTTCGAACTGGAAGTGGAGGAAGACTCAGACTGATGATTATTAGAAGAGTAGACGAGGAGTGTGGGGTAGTGCACGTTCGTTAGTTTTTTGTAATCTAAATCTAATCGCTTGACATATGTACAGCTAGAAAAAGATCCGATGTGTATATTTCTTTCTTAAATGGGATAGAAAAGTTACTAGTTCTATAAAACGCGTCCGGAATCAGACTGGAACTTGCACGAGCTACTTGTTTGAATCTGGTTGCGGTTCCACACTTCCACAGTTCCACATATGTGGTACCAGAACTAGTCGATCCGGTTCACTTCATACTCTTTGTACTGCTTTTACCCAATCGCGTGCTCTGTCTCGACCCCGGACCAGAAAAACAAACTGGGTCCGGTCCTGCACAATACCGGATCTGATTTGGGACCGGTTTGGGACCGCCAACCGGGTCCATCCCTAACACTCGCAGATAATTACTCAAATACATAATACCTGTAAATGGAAATAATTTTTGAATGGGGAAAATTCATAAATTGTACTTCTTTTATTAGTATTGATGCAATTGGTAGTTTGGTACTTAAAATCTTAAATGAAGCAAATTGGTCTCACAATCATAGTTGAACCTGCTACTAGAGTGGAAAGCAAAAATAACTGAAGAATTCTGAGAAAACAAAGAAAAATAATTAGAATAATATCCAGTTTTGGCAGCCACAAGTAATAAAGAAGTGGTTTGATCAGCCCCCGTCAAAGGTTCCTCTTGCACCTCACAAAAATCCCTGATCACTGGCGGTGGTCTCCAGACAGCATGCAAGTTTTTTGGATTTGTATCATCAACATCCATACTTGCTTGAACACCCTCCTTGCTAACCAATTCAATGACTCTGCGCTTTCTTGGCTCTTCTGGGGTAATAGCAGCTTCCCTTCCCTTTGAGAGAAGGCCTTCCATCCCGTAGCTTCCTCATCAATTATAGCTCTGCCCAATGACCTCGAGATCTCCCCACCATCCCTTTTGTCACTTGGCCGGTTGTTGCTAGGAATCAGTCACCTGTTCTCCGGATGTACATCACCTCCTCTCGTATATGCACGTATCCATGACCCATATGGATTCTCTCCGATGTAGTTACAATTATGTGAATTAGATAGATGGACATAAGCGATCAGCATGGTCAAGTATCCCGCACAAAAAGAAAAAATTTGAAGGTCTCTCATATCAATAATTCGCCCATATCCAATTATCCTCTTCTTGTCTAACCTGAAATCTCCGGGTCAATGCCATATTTATATTAAGTGTAACTCTTATGTGCGTTCATCAACAACTTGACTGATATCTGCTTCATGGTAGAACTGGAGGAGAAGTTTAGAAGCATCAATCTCTTCAATAGTGACTCCCTGAACTGGTCTCCAGACCATGGTCATAGTTTCACGAAAGGAAATTGGACGGACAGGTTTATCCGTAACCACCCTTGCCACAACCGAGAAACACCCCCCCCCCCCCCCCCCCCTCAATTTCGTCATCACCCCCTATCGGGTCTGCTTGCATAGTTGCATGACTAAGCCCCTTCACTTCGTATTGTAGTTCCATATAAATAAAACATTTTGGGATTTTTTTTGGAATATTGATTTTTTTGGAATATGGATTATGGGTAAAAACAATGCCTTGACGTCTTTGCAAAGTTGCAATCTTGCATTGTGGAGATTTATGGTGTCCCAGATTCTTACAATGTGAGGATTCTTACTCACTAATGACAATTCACAAACGTGAACCTTAATTTCCTTGATGAATTGCACTTTTCCAAATCATATGAATTTGTTAGTTTTCCTTGAATACAATACAAAGGTTTCTAGAATATTAAATGAGCGATATACTACTAGTATAATGGTTCCAATAGTGATTCCCTATGTAATAACATTTCTTTATATGAGAAATGCGATCACAGCTGGTCAAGAGTCAGCGTTATCCACGACTGATCGCAATAAAAAATATCCCAAATATGTAAACAATCAACATTTGCAAACCCAATTATAGACAATGTTGCTTTATATTTGTTTGTATATGTTTGTAATTGGTCCACCCTAAATTTTAAAAATGTCAGGGCGGATCTAGAGAGTGGCTAACTAGGCTTTGGCCCACCCCAAATTTTAAAAATGTCAAAATTTTAGTGTTAAAATTTTCATGTATAAAATTTTTAAAACTATTCTTTGTACCGGCTCAATCCGACTCAGTGTCCTGATAGAGTCAACGTGAGTCAAGATGAGAAAATAGAAAAAATGCTAACTGATTTTTTTTTTACTTCATAGTTGAACTGTTGAACCAATCCTCGAGTTATAGATTTGAAGGTGACTATTATTTACACGCATTCTTTCATTTCATGTCGAAATAGTCAGCCAAAATTTAAAAGCCACGTTATGTCAAAAAGTCATTCTTTCTCATTTAAATTGCAAATTATATCGTGAGATCCCATCTTAAAACATATTTTGTGCTTAAAAATAAGGGATCAGGGTGATTTACGTGCACCATATTATCCCTTCATAAGTACACCGGACTATTTCAAAGTTTTAAAGGTTGCAACTTCGTGGGGAGCTAGCTTAGGATTTAGCCGCCTAAAAGTTGATGTTACAATCCAAATGAGATTGCATTAATGATAAATTATATGGGAATGAAGAAGATGAGCATATTAAAAGGATCAAAAGTGGCATTTGATTCCTTATCAAATACTTCCTTCGTCCTATAAAATAGTTCCCACATTGACTTGGATCGGAATTTAAGAAAGTGAGAATAAAGTGGAAATGTATGATTATGGTGGAGTAAAAAAAAGGTAAATGGACGGTAGACACAAAAAACTTTCCAAAAAGGGAAATGTGAACTATTTTTTGGGAAGGCCCAAAAAAAGAAATCGGGAACTATTTTACGGGACGGAAGGAGTAAATAATAAGGTTGCTTAATAGCGACTATATTTTAGATGGTCCCAAACAGACATTTGAAAATAGGTTGGATTGTTAGAAGAAACTAGGGTGAGCATATCGGTTTTCGGTTCGATTTTTATCGGTTTCAGCTCAGTTTGGTTTGGAATGGATTGAAAGAATTATAACCAAACATAAAACAAAACTATTTTTCGGTTTCGTTCGATTTGATTTAGTTTGAATTTGTTATTTTTTTTTCAAGTTTGAATTTGTTATTTTTAAATAGCATATGAAGATTTTATTAAATTTCTTTAGTTTGGTTCAGTTTTATTCAGTTTTTCTTGATTTCAATTTGGTTCAGTTTAATACAATTTGGAAAAATATTATCAAACTCAAACCGATTCAATTTTAGTTTGATTTGGTAGAGTTCAATTCGATTAAACCAAATTGATTGATATACTCAGCCTAGAAGAAACAATGAGAATGAGAATTTGGAGTGCAAAGCATGTTAACGTGTCATGTATACCTAAAAGTTCAAGAGAGAATTCTAGGCCTGGGATCGGTTCGGTTCTGATTAAAATTCGATGGAACCGTATAAAAATCGTCGACGTTAAATTCGGTTCGGTTCTAGTTAAAAATGTAGTTGTTAAATTCGGTTCGGTTCTAGTTAAATTCGGTTCGGTTCTTACATTTTTTCGGTTCCTTATAAAAATTTATTATCCTCCTAAAATGAACACATTTTACTTTCAGTTACATAAGAAAATTCAAATTTAAAATCATGAAATTATGACCATTACATTATACATGCATGATATATAACTCAATGTTCAAATATAAAAAAAAATGCAAGTGCAACATTAAATTTAAACTAAACAAAAATCTCGGTTTAAAATAAGCATCAACTGTCAAGTAAAAAAGTCAATAGCTCCAAAGTAGACATCCAATAGCAGGTAGTTCAACCCCAAAATAATATTCTTCTACTAGTAATGCACAATAAGTAAAAAGTACGTAGTAATAAACAACGTAATCAATAGAATATTAATTCCTTTTTTAGGTTAACTCCAATAACAAATACAATTACAAAAAACAATAAATATAAAAGTGGACTAAAGTATTAAAATAACAACTACTCAGATTGGCCTGATCCACAATATATAGGGAATATTATGCAAAACAATTTTTTTTGACAAAAATTTTCTGCCCGGAACGCCATCTGGCCACCTCCATTCGATATGCTTTCGTGTAGAATTTTTTGATAAAATTTTGTGAACACGTTCTACATGAAATATAGATTATATATACCAAACTTTAGTTCAAAATGCAATCGGGAAGTGAGTTAAATAAAATATTGAAAAACATTGTGTTTATATATATATTTTGGCGTAATGTTTTTCAATGATTTATTTAACTGACTTTACGGTTTCATTTTAAGCTCAAATTTCGTGGACATAATCATTATTTTATGAAAAACAAGCTCACAAAATTTCATCAAAAAAATCCACACAGAAGCACCTCAAATAAAGATTACTCATGCAATGTATAAGAAGTTCGGTTCCTGGCTAGGAACTGGAACCGAACCGGAACCGAACCGATGAAATACTATAGGAACCGAATCGAAAAAAATTGAAGTCCAAAATTATAGGAACCGAACCGAACTGGAAATTTCAGTTCGGTTCGGATCGGTTTTCCCGGTTTTACGATTCCAAGTCCCAACCCTAGAGAATTCTTTAAATCAGAATAACACACAAATAAAATATCATAATTAGAAAAGTAATATAATTCTCATTATACTCCATATAACTATATAAATCCTTTATAAAAGAATATAAATACTCCATTTATATACTTTGGCGAATCAATTTTATTTTATTTCAACTTAAAACCCACTTTCCCTTCACCGCGGGAAGTCGTTTTGCTGTTCTTTTCAAAGTCTGTTAGTTTTACACTCCCCGCGCTCGAATTTAATCAATTCCCCAATTTGCTCTAGCGCGGGTTAGCTTATACCGGCATTAATGGAAGCGGAACACATTCACTGCAAATTTAGAAAAGACTTTGAAAGAGGTAGCTTGAAAGCCACACTGCTTTTCAATGGTTGCCCCCAGGAAGAGAGTTCACGCGATTCTCATTCGTCGTGGCCCTGATGGAAGTGCCTTCCAACAATGGTTTTTCTTCTTCTTCCCCTGTACCTTCATTTGGTCACTATCATTGCAATTCGTGCTACTTAATCCACGGAACTCTAGTCGAGATTCATGATTTCCTATATGGCTGTATATTTGTATGTGTGAATGGGTTGGTTATTTACTTATCTGTTTTGCAGCGAAAGCTGTGGCCTTTCTGTAGCAATTTCTCTGGCGGATCTTCATGAATGCGGAGACAAAAGGAATGCCGTCAAGAAGGCCAAAAGTCAATGCCAGAGCAAAGAAAGAAAAGGGCAGACGAGTAGAAATGGTGAAGAACTGAGGTTTCAAGATCAACCCAGATCAGCATTTCGCTTATTTATGTACATCCCCGTCCTCTTTCACACGTTTATGTGCTATATGTTTTATCTGTCAATGTGGATGCCGACAATGTGCTTGATATAATGCCTCTATATGACTAAAACTCAACCCTTTGATTTATTTGTTGGGAATATTTGAGAAACGTAGGGAGGAGTTTGAGAAGACATGTCATGATGAGAATGAAATTGATGTTGATCGGAGAGGGTTTCAAACATGGAGGAACATGTCAAAGATGGTATTATGCTAATTACTTTGAGCTATAATGGTGTAATTTATCTCTGGTTTTATTAGCCAATTATCTCTGTACTTTTGTAATTTTTATTACTACTCACAGAGTTTTCATTGATCTTGGTTTTAGGAGAGGAAACCCTACGAAGTTCGAGCGGCAAAGATCTGTTCAGCTTACTTAAAATGCTTAATCGAGGAGGAGAATAATATGATGCCGGTATAAATTCATATGCATAGAAGTTTGATGTTTTTACCAATAACTAATCAATGGTGGTTAAGCCTTTACAACCAAAAATCATTTGAAAAGCCAATTAGCCTTTGCAATGTGGTGAGAATTTCCTTTTTCCTATTGACGCAATTCCAAACTATACACAGTTCTGCCCAAAAGCTTATTCGAAAAGCCAAAACCAACACAACTCAGAAGTGGGACCTTGATCTTCACAACAGTTTTCAATCCCTAGGTCAAACATTAAAATCTCCCCTATTTTCTTTTAAGGAAAGGAATATATGGTCTAAATTATGTCACTGGTTGGAATTCAAATTTCAACCATATATTTTTCAAGCATACTTGATAGGAGTAATAAACATATCAATTCAAACAAGAAGATTTATTCAGGATGGAATGAGGGATAATTCTCAAAGTCTCTTTCTCACTTAAATTTCCAATATTGTTTTTCCAATTAGCTTTTTTTACCCAACCTCTATCCCAGTTAAAGCCTAAGTAAATCATTATACTTTCTCTATGCTTTTTGAGTTATTAGTGGCGGATTTATCATTTTAAAACCGAGTGTTTGGAATTACTTTACACTAAAAAATTTATATAATGGTATTGTTTGATGCAAAAAATCCGCACGTTTTCCCTTGAAAAACTAATTAGTAGAACTAAAAATGGGAAATATTATATCAGTAGACTAAAATAAATTATTACACTGATTTTGACATTTTATATTCCCATTTTTTCAAAAAGTTTCTATGTTCACATGAACACCCCTGAATTAAAGGGATCCGCCACTGATTCCAACATTCAAACTTTTTCTCAAGGAAGCAATATAAATGTGCTCTTCTTCTCTTATTGATCAACCATTTTAGGTGAATGATGAAGCTGATTCAGCTGAGGTTCGGAATTATGACGAGGTTAATCTGCTTAATTCTTCCCAATTGTTTCTAATTAATTCATGAATCTACTTAATTCTTCCCAATTGTTTCTAATTAATTCATGAATCTACTTAATTCTTCCCAACTGTTTCTAAATAATTCATGAATACATGCTGTTCATTATATATAGGATTCTGATGGGTTCTTGAGATATGATTCAGAGGAAAGCAAGAGCCTCAGCTCCTACTTGAAATGGTAGGGGTTCATGCATATCCTTAGATTTGTGTCCTTCCATACCCTTGCTGCCTTGCATGAAAAACAGTTCTTAAATTCCTAATATTTGTGAAATAGGAAATCGAAGCATGAGTGGTTGTTCCATTGAAAGCCCTGATGACTCGGAGTATCACTCATTCATTTGTGAAGTTTTGACAGATATATGCATTAGAAGTAGTACAAAGTATAGAGATGATGGGGCATTAATCTTTGATGTTATCGAGAGGCTCAAGGTTCTTGTTTGCACGTCGAATCTCTGTGACTCTCTTTCCTGTATATAAGCTGATGATTTTGAGAAAACTTTACTTCAGGACGCTTTTTGCTTGCTCCAAGTTCCCAACTCACTGTTATCTCAATGGGAGATATCTGTAATGATATGATTTTGAAATTTCCTCATTAATTAGTCATTTTCTTTAGAATGTTGAAACATAAAGGGGAACTTTAATTAGCTTCTTTGCATGGTGATGGATCAGCGAACTATTTAGTCAGCTTGATAAGCTTGTTACAGCTTATTTGCTTCTGACTAAATTAGCCTCTTTCCTAGTAAACAACAGTACAGGAAGCCACCCAGGCTCGCTTATTTGTTAACAGCGGGAACTTTAATTCGCCTCTTTCTTGTAAACAACAGCCGACCCTCGAACCAGACTCAAAGGTTATCGATGTCTGTTTTTTTTTGTGTAAGAAGCAAATATTACATCCGGAGTACTTATTTAGTCTGAAATAGTGCCTACATGTAAAAGAGCTTTCATTTCTCATATTTCAGCCTTTCAGGTCAAATTAAATCGATATCAGTTTTTGAAACAGCTAGGGGTTAGAAGTTTTTAATTCAGACATGATTTCATGCACTGGGGCAAGGCAGTTCTCTCTCTAGGGTGATTCTTCACCGCTAGGTTTTTTCCCGCTATCGACTAAGTCGAGGAGCGGCCGCCGTTTTTGGTGGATTTACAGTCTCTCATCTTGTAGCTTCGGTCGAGGGTGAGGGATAGCGAACGGATAGAGGTTTGGAGGTTCAAGCAGCAGCGAGGGATAGGCGTGGTATCTTTCTGCGCAAGGATAGGAGGAATCGAAGCGTTCAGGTTGAGGGTTCCGATTGTTTTCGAAACAGTCAACGATAGATGGAAAAAATTGTTAATCAATACAAGAAAATGGCTATAGGGGGATGCAGAGGAGTTGGATCTGGATGAGATTGCGTTTGAAGAACCAGTGGCGAAGGAGTCACGGCTGAGCTTTCTGGTGGTGGGTGCTCTGTTGACGATTGACAGACAGGAAGATCAAGTTTTTGTTCAAAGAACCTATGGCTGTCATTGTGGAGGCCAGGGAAAGGTGTGTTGATTAAAGAAATTGGTGACAAAAAATATCTCTTTACTTTCTATCATAGGATATGAAACGTTTTTTAGAGGGTGGCCCATGGCAATTTGAGAGGAATCTTTTGATTTTGAAAGAGGTGAAGCCGTAGATCCCGCTTAAGATCAGTCTCAATGAGGTTGAATTTTGGGTACAAGTTCATAATGTTTCTTATAGTTTCATGAATCTAGGCACTGCTAGAAGAATTGGTAATTTTATTGGAAAGTTTATTCGCTATGATGAAAACCAATTTGACGAAAAATGGGAAGCTTATCTACGTGTCAGGGTGTGTATGGATGTGGAAAAACCTCTGAAAAAGGTACAACACTCAAAAAAAGGAGGGATCGAACACTAGGTGGATTTTAAGTATGAAAAACTACCCAATTTTTACTTTATTTATGGTATGTTCGGTCATTCTGATAAGTTATGTCCGTTAACTTATAAAGATAACTTCGTACTAGATAAAACTTTGGGGGTGCACCTTAGTGCGGGTGGTGGAGGGAAGACTAGTCCTACAAGAGGTAACAAATGGTTAGTTGATGGATCATCTAGCTCAGATCAGGGACCCTTTCTCAAAGAGGATAACAAGTCGGATGGGAGAGCAGGTGGGGATTGGTAGGAATCCACGTCGAGCACAGTTAATAGCTTGACAAAAGATGGGAAATTTAGGAGCACCGAGGAAGTATTAGGGGAGCAAAAACGAAGGAGAATCTGGGAAACTCAGGAAACAGAGAGTCCAATTGGGGATAATATGGTTATGGACAGGTCAAAAAATGGGGGGAGGCGGGCTGAGATGCCTAGGCACGCCGAAGAAGCTAAGACAAAAGATGTTTTCGGGCTTGTGGAAGATGGTGGTGATCTGGAAGATGGGGCAGGAGTTTTATTTTGTTGCACTGCTGGTTTTTTTTATTGTTTGGATTTCTACTGTTTACGTTTGGTTTTGTTTTTTATTCTTTCATTGTAAGACTGTGGATTTGGGTGATGGGTGATGGGGGTTCGCTTTAACCGTCTTTGGCTCATTTGTGCACAATTATGGATCAGTGAGTTATATTGCTTCTGTAGAGGTTATAACCTCTGAGTCTGGTTCGAGGGTCGGCTGTTGTTAGTGATCTTTTTATCGTTTCACCCACTATCTCAATGATGTGATATCAATTTAAGTCTATTTCTTCCACACACAAAAACAAGTAAACAACTGAAATATTACCTATTTTTAATGGTTCCAACTTCCAAACCTCTATAAAAAAAATGGTTCCAGACCAGTCAAAATTAGGATACCATAAATCCTGTTTTTCTCTTAATAATCCCCACTTTTAAACATTTTATAAAAATAATTCATACGGGAGAAGTTCACAACAATAATCCCAACTAGTTAATTGTTTCACATAAATAAACTTGAAGGATGTTTTTACTTGGACAGTTTTGGTCTCAGACCAGACTAGATTTAAACAGATCAGACAAGACCAGACTAGTCCCAACTTTTATAGTTATAAAATACATAGAGACCAGACAAGTTCAGACCATATCAGACCAGACTAGGCTTAAACAGACCAGACCAGACCAGACCATCAAATTTTAGTCCAAGTAAAAATATCCTAACTGTGTCAACTTTTCGGTTATATTTTTTTCATTTTAAATTTAATAAAGCAAATATATATAAGTATTTGCAATATTATATTTGTGATGAAACTTATACTCCGTATCTATTACTATAAATTAAATTAAATACTCATTAGTTTTATTAAAATATAGTATGAATATTTAATACATACTCATCAATTCTCTTTTATCTCTTATTTCTTATCTATATTCTATTTAAATTCATTTTTGTTTTTCATTATAATTGAGATTTCATAGTACCCTGAGTGTTACTACATTAAATATTATGGAGTACTACGTAATACTCCCTTCGGTCCCTATTAAAGTTCCCGGTTTGACTTCACGCAGATTAAAAAAATAAATTTGACTTTACTGTGGAGTGTACTGTTTAACACTGTTTGAACACTGTTTGGCATTGTTTTGCACTGTTTTGTTTCCTACAATGGAAGTGTTAACTTAAATAAGGGACATCCCAAAAAGGAAAGTGAGAACTTTAATAGGGATCGGAGGGAGTACGAAGTACAAGGTACGAAGTATACGATAATTATTTTTAACTTAGTCAAGTTTTATAAATTGATACTTCGTATCATTTGAATGGATGACATACTAAATTATCATAAAAATGTGGTTACATTCATATTTTACTTTTATTTGAATGTATAAATAAAGTTTCATAAACATGAACATAATCATATTTCTTCTATAATACTTTATCCGGTCCTTAAAACTTTGTCATCTTTCTTTTTTGGGATTTATCAAAACTTTATCATCTTTTCTTTTAATCAATCAATTTGTATTATCTGTTATTTCTATCTTCTCTGCACAAACATCAACTATATAACTTTTACTTTATTATTCTCTGTGTTTATCAAACTTGATAAAGTTTTAAGGAATGGAAGTAGTATTTAGTATCTCATCTGCTCAAGTCATAATACATACTATTTATAAAATTGACTGAAATTAAAAATAATCATCATATACTTTGTATTAATATTTAATGTAGTGTTACCTAAAAATCTGTGAATTCTCTATTTTAATGAAAAATGAAAATGGATATAAATAAAATATTGATAAAGAATAAATATAAAAGAGAACTTGTTGAGTATGTGTTCAAATATTTCTATCAAGTTTACGAAAAATATTTAATATTAAATTTATAATAGAAGTAATATTAAAGTCAAATATAATATTGTTATTGTTGATATATATTTTTGCTTCATTATATTTAAAATTAAAAAAATAACGAAAAAGTTGACATTGTTAGCTACAGAATTATTTTTGCGAAACTGTAAACTAGTTGCGGTTATTATTGTCAACTTCTCTAATAAGGACTCGTTGGGGTAATTGGTCAGGAGCGTACCCCAGGACACATGTCGCGCGCAGGCGAAAAGTCAGGTAATCGTTGCAGTTGCCTGGGAAAATGAACCGCCCGCTGAAAAATCGTCACCTCGAATCTCGGGAACCGTCGTGGCACTTGTCGCATCATGAGCTTCGAGCTGTGTCGCTCGGGATTAATCTCACTACTTCATCATGTCCTGCGCATGCTCATAACATCAGAGGTGGAGGACTTGTGTTGGAGTGATTGGCCCAATTATGGATTAGCCCGAATACCCCGTGAAGGAGTGACGCCAGGAACCACCAAGGTCTACGGCCCGCTCTGCCCAGCCCGAGCGACATGCTCCGCGCGGCCCAACCCGAGCGGCATGCTCCGTGCGGCCCACTCAGCCTAGCCCGAGTGGCACGCTCCGTGCGGCCCCCTCGACCCAGCCTGAGTGGCACGCTCTGCTCTACCCGCTTGACCTAGCCCAAGCGGCCGGCACGCTCCGCGTGGCCTCTCTCCCTTGTCTTATGTTCGCTAGAGTTCATGGGGACCTCAACCAATGCACTCAGAATGGTTGACAAGAAAACAAGGATTTAGGCGGGGAAACGCATATAATGCACTAGAAACACAAGATTTGGTGGTTGGAGGATTAGCCATTGATAATCTTCCAATCATTACTACCACCTACCTCATGATTAGGGATTGACAACTTGTACTAACTAGCTTTAGCTTCTAATCTTCTGTACTCACAGTTTAGACTAGACGCTCGGTCTCAGTATGGTATGTTGTAATTGTTCTTGATTGCTAAATAAGAACTCGACCCACTTATTGTCTTTCTCTTCATTTGCTAAGTACTTGTGCCTTTGCATCACACAACCCATTAAAATATTCATCGAAGCCTAAGGGAACGTGTTGGACCTTGGAATTGAAGGAATAAACCTCAACACGATTATTTTTAAAAAATACCTAAAATTATGGATTATTGGCTTCAATTTCACTTTAAGATGAAGTTAAACATGGATGGGGACCAATTCTGGACTGAAGGTTTCAGTTTCAACCTTACTCGGAGTTAGACCGAGTCTACGTCTGGAGAGTGGAGACGAATGGATCCTTGAATAAATGTTGGAAAGATGAGTACACTTTGTCAAAAGGGTTGTAGTCTATGGACAAAGGCATAGACACCATAATTCCATAATTACAAAGTGCTCATATGAATGAAAAGCGTCATTTCTAATTCAGTGTAATAATTAATAGACTTTAAGCATATAGTATGCTTATTTTTTACTTCTTAAAATTACTCTTTGTTATAGAAAAATACTACATCCGTCCCACTAAGATTGGGACGAGAGAAGATTGCACGATTATTAAGAAAAGTGAGTTTGTGTAGTTGATATTAAATTGATAAGGTAAGAATAAAGTAAGAATGATTTAGAACCATACAATCTTTACCAAATTTGGTAGGGGGCAATCTTAGTGGGACTTCCCAAAAAGGTAAAATGGGACAATCTTAACGGGACGGATGGAGTAACATTTATATAATTATTATATCAAATAATATTGTTGCTCAAATAACATTTAATTTGAACACCTAAAATCTATGTGGTCCATGTCAGGATGGTTCAGATATTCCTAACATGTCACCTTCTCTTATCCTCTTAAGGCTATAATGACCACATGAGGTCATGTGAATGTCTAAACGATGCAGGAAGAAATTGAATGTAACGGTACTCAGTTAACTGATGTTATGATAAGGATAATTGTATTCAAAATATAGTAATTGAAATTTACGTTAACCGAAAATTGATTAATCAAAATGTGATTGACCGGTTCCCTCGAAATACCGGTTGAAATTAGGCTTGGACTCGGTGCGGGCCACCCGGCCCGGGAACCGGCCCGGCCCGCTACTGTGCGGACCCGGCCCGGCCCGGGAAACCGGGTCCGGTTCCGGTTCGGGCCTAGGCCCAGGGGGTCTACCGGTTCCGGGCACGGGTAAGGGAAAAGGGGAACCGGCCCGGCCGGGCCGGGCCCGGTTCGAGCCTTTTTTTATTTTTATTTTTTGATTTTTTTGGTTTGTGTTGGGGTTAGTTGGGCTGGGCTGGGTATTTCCGAGGGGTTTGGGGGGTTGGGGGGGATGGGGGTGGGGGTGAAATAAATAAGAATAAAAAAAATGAACCGAAACCGGCCCGGCCCAGAACCGGTCAAGACCCAGGCCGGTCTCGGGCCTATGGATACGAAACCGGCGGCCCGGCCCGAGTCCAAGCCTAGGTTGAATGAGTAAGGTAGTGTAGAAGCATGTAAGTTTATGTTTGGAATGTCATATTTAGGATATTCAAATGAAAAAAAAAAAGAAGCAAGTTTGTAGACTTTAATAGTTTAATTGATAAAATGATTACTCAAACCTCTTTGCTTGTTGATATTTGATAATGATATGTCAACATGTTTTACTAGGAAGTTGCTGAAAATGTATTTAATATTTTTTTGGTTCAAAAAATATATTTGATAAACTCAAAATTATCAAATTGGGACTACAACGTGGTGAAGGTGTACAAACAAAAACATGACTTTTATGTGTCATCTAGGACTCTAGGAACAACAGTAGAAATGAATACCTTAAAGGCTTAAATAGGTACTAAAAATTGTCATCTTAATTACTAATAAAATACCATATTTATTGTTAAATGAATAAAATTATATAATCTTGGTTGTAGCACACATGAATTTACTTGAACAAGAGTTATAAAATGAGAATAAAACATAGAAACTCAAATTATGACAGTTGTACTATCTTTTAGTCTTATATAAGACAATTTCTTTAAGATAAAGCAATCTATTCAATAATGGCGAAAGAAGACAGTTTTTAACAAAAAATGCTAAAATAGTTTACAAAATATTAAAAGGTTTTATTAAAGTGTGAAACAAAGTGCATTTGTAACGCAGTAAAGTGTATATCCTGGGGCATGCTCTCAATTAATAAAGCCAGAAGGCTATATACTTCACCAACAACATGAAAATGGTAAAATACGCCACTCCATCCAAAAACAAAATACCTAAGCCTTCGTGCAATCGTGCTTCACATTGAAAAGACTCAAATAGGCAACCCAGATTCTAGCTTAATAAAACTCATTTAAACTCTTGGTTGTAATATGTAAATTTCAAGTCACCATTATGTCGGGTAAGGATCTTTTATTCATTGCTAGCAAGGCAGGTCCCGAGGAAATGAAAGTCTTGTGCAACAAAAATAATTAAGCCTTCTTTTCAAAGTTTCAACACAAGTTAAAAAAAACCGAATCGAACCGAAACCGCACCGACTCAAACGGGACCTGAAAGTCGGGACTCGAACATAAATCGGTTTAATGAAGGTTTTTTGAGTTACAAAATTTGTTCAAACCGAACCGAACCGATTTTTATTAAGAGGTATTTTTAACTATTTATTTTGTAGAACAGATAGGTAATATAAAGCTTGTACGTCCTTATTTCAACAATTAGTTGATTCGATCCATTGGGTTGATGTTTTGAGATCAGCGTGCATGATTTTATTTTCACCTAGGTTCGAATCCCGCATGCCTCACTTCTTATCTTTTTAGTTTCTAATGTTTAAGATTCCCACGCCGGTGAAAACGGAGGATTTAGTACTCCTTCATTCCTATATATACGCTCCACCTCTAAGTAATACTACTCCGTGTCTCCGTCCCAAATTGTTTTGCAAAGACAACAGTTTTTGGTCAACTAATAAAAAAAGTCAATGCTCCCTATTGATAATTAATTCCATTTTTAGTAATTAAAATTTATATATTCAGAAACTATATTAATATCTCTTCAAAGTTATAAATTCCAAATTAGAATATTATTAAAAATTGACATCCTAATTAAGCAAATAAAATGAAATTGTTTGACCAGGAAAAGTCAAATTTGCAAATCAATTTGGGACGAAGGTAGTAGTATATTACCACAAAAAAATTGGGCCCTTCTAATTTTTTGGGCCCTGTGCGGTTGGACACCCTACACACCCTCAGGGCCGGCCCTGATTGCTAGCATAACAATCTCTATAACCTAATTAAAACAGCACCATAAACGGACAAAAAGTAGCACAAGAATTTTGCATTTCATCAAACCCATATCATTCTAAATTGGTTTTAGTTAAGCCATAAAGATCAGATGTATAATGATTTGGTGATGTATCATATCCTTAACTAGTTAATGTAGATGTAAAATCTGAGTAGCAATAAATTAAAATGCATGTACTAAAAACATATAAAGATAAACACAAAGCATTGTTTATACATACCCCCCCCCCCCCCCCCCCCCCCAGGGTTATAAATTAGCCCAGGAACCATGCAGGAACAGTGCTTTAACACTCATGGAATCTGAAATCTTGTTTATACACAATGCATGACAGATAACGCAACAAATTGTGCTTTTACATGAGTGCATTAAGCCTCTCTTTCCTGAGAGTCTCCAACTCATTAACCATTTGCCAATGTTCAATCGACAAGCTGCTTTCCCCAAAACTTAGAGATACTAAACGTGCCAATGTCAACAATCTGCGCGCCAACACTCTTTACTAAGCACCCTCTTCACTTGCTATAGTTATCATGAAACATAGAAATGTAATACAAGTATTTATTAGCATGCAGCAACTGACCTGCTAAATTCTTGGCTGCCCATGCTGCGGTCAGCTTGCCTGGCAGCAACCAGGTTGTCTTCCAACACCTGCAATAATAATAACCTTTTATTTCTAGGGGTTGTGGATTTAGAGTTCATACCTTTTTAAAATAGAATATTTTATTTGGATGTCCCAAAAAATCTTCCTATTTCCCTTTTTGGAAAGTTTTGTGTGGCTCACATTCATTTACCTTTTTCTTACTCAACCACAACCATAAATTTACACTTTATTCCTACTTTTTAATACTCTGATCCAAGTTGAACCAGGAAGAATTTTATGCGACGGAGGGAGTATTTTGAAACATTATTATTAAATTGAAAGTAACTTGGAGTATTTTTCTAACAGAAAAATTTACCTTCTGCATCTCTGGGCTGATGCTGTGTGACAATAATCTCATTGTACTTAAATACCAACGCCAAGCATTAAGTGTACTTGCTTCAATATCTTTATGGGGGGTTACTGAACACGGACGGAAAGGCAAAACTATATCAGCTGGTAGTATGTTTGATTTTCCCTCTGATATAATTAGCAACTGGACGTCCGTGGGCATCTCCATTTTGTAATACGTGAAGTCATACTCCACCTACAAAGAGAACAACAAGTTAAGTTGAATGGTCATTTAAAGACTTCTGATTCCCCAATGAACTTTTAAACTTTCCACATCAATGTACAGCATAGATTTCTTACCACTTTTGCACCTTCTGGTCACTTAACCAGCAGGCAATTTGGGGTTAGCTTTAGACAGATGATTGGCCGTAAAGAGTCAAAGGTTCATTCATGTTTCCATATATTTTATAAATAATTAAAAAGAGTCAAAAGGTTTTCAAAATACAGTTATGCACCAAAAAAAATCAAAGTCGGAGACTAAATATGGAATAATCTTAGTCATTGGACCAAATAGGAATGTATTTATTTTTGAATCAGAAGTCAGTAAATATTTAATTAACTGGGATGTGCAATCCAGCATGGAACACATGAAACATGTTGGTAAAGAAAAGCATCATCATGTGAACCTTTTGCAAATCCAACAAGCTCTTCAGTAGCCTGGTATTGTTAATCCCAGTTGAGTTGAGGTTTCCAGGTTTTAATTGAGTCTCGTCAATGGTAACATGAGTGCCATCGGCCAATTGAAGAACTCCTATAATCAATCTGCAGTTTGGAACAGAGAATAAACATAAACATTTGACTGATGTGCAATTTGAAAAAGTACAAAACATGTACATATGGTTGCCCGTATTTAAACATAGCAAATACCTATTTGTTTGATAGTCTTTCCTTGGTGCAAGCAGGGTCGTGTTAAGATAATCAACAGTGAGTGGTATAGAGTGAGAGAATGGCAAAAGATTCTTTATGGCTTGGTTGAGTCCTGGAGCAAACACAGATGCAGTTTCGTTGCTAAAACATGTGAGGTTTAATGAAAGCTTTCCCACTGCAATTGAATCTACTCTACCATGGATCTGCATTGAAATAGAGTTAAGCCCCCAAGTTAAAGAGCCCACTTGGAAAAGGTAACTTTGGCTGAAAAGTTAGCGAAATTGTTGCTATATTGATTTAGTTGATGGCGTAAAAAGAATATTTACAAAATAGTTATTGATAAGTAATCGGAAAATATTTATGACGGCTGAAATGATCAAACCAAAAAAGTGCCTACAGTCTTGCTCTAATCAAACATATAATCCCTAGAAGGAGTGAACACATCACTTCAAAACAAAAGCTACTTTACGGGAGCTGGATGGACCTCTCTGATACATTCCAGTAGGTAAAAGGCTGAAAGTTCATACACGGAGCAGACTGGAGGCACGCTTTTACTATTATTATTATTATTATTATTATTGTTATTTATGTCTGCAGTAATTAGTGTTGGTTAATGTGGTAGTGGGTAGTTACTCCTCAGGCAACTAGCAGGGCACTAGGCATTTAGTTGGCAGTTAAAGTTTATGGAAGTTATAATCTGTAACCAACCTTCCTCTATTTAAGAGAAAGTTTATTTGCAAAAGTGAATATATCTGAAAAGTTTGTAAATAGTTAGAATCAGGGAGTCGGAGAATTCTCAACAAAAATTATCATCTTCTTCTTCCACCATTCCACACGATATTCACACTACACTCCTGCAGGCTGCAGCATCTATATGCCAGCAAGCAACACCGTCAATCAGACCTCCGAGCAACCTTCTGTCTCCTCCTATTCCGGTCCCGTGACGCGATCCCAAACCCGGGCACATAACACTATCATCTTTCTTTTCTCTGGTTTTGGCAGCTTGAATTTGCTCGGGGTCAAAGTTGGATTTCTTTGCATTAACTGCTGAGATATTTGTGTTAGGGCTTTAAGACACTGACTTGGAGTTTGGCCAATTCACATTACCTTGTTTTCTTCATTACTTTTAAGATTGTATTCCCTAAAGGAATGAATATGCTCTGTATTAGTGTCAAATGGCAAAGGGCATCTCATCTTTTATCTTCTTCAATAACATTTGTTTTTAGCACAAAGAAATCAATTTTGCGTGTACTAGCATTTGAAATATAGTTTGATTGATAAGCTGAAGGAAGTGGCTCCAGAGCTAAATCTCAAAGTCAGGAACAAAAAGGAACTTTTATTATCAAGACATATTAGGGAATCCTATAAATACCCGGGAAAGAAGATGTAACAGCATGAATTCAGCTGCAACTCGATCATTTCCAAGAATAGATGACAGATGGCCCAGCAGTGTTTCCCTCATCCCTTTCACCATATGTGTTTTAAACTGTACAATTACCAATAAAAACATATTAAGTAAAGTTAGCGGTTTGAGTGGGCAATGAATTGAATGATACGTAGTATATGAATTTTGAAATATCAATTATGCTTTTTTCAAATAAAAATAATTTTGATTGTTGGACTTCAACATATCATCCAAAAGTCTAAAACAACGGCCAGTGACAGGAATAAGATATTCTTGATTCAAACTACCTCTGTCATGGATAAATTTGAGAGAAAATCTTGAGCCCCAAGTTTCTGGTAAACAATGCAATGTAATCTAGGAACCTGTAAAATGTATAGAATTGCTTGAAACCAGCTCACACTATAACAACAGAATGATGAGATAATATCAAAGAAATGTTTTTGTTCTTTCATTGACTTCACTCTTGAAGATTTAGACTTTGAATTTGAAGTAAATAGCATCATATGAAAAAGAAATTCTCCTTTTAACCCAATCAATTTCTTCAGTGTACTGTGTGCACGCAGAATATACAAATTTAACTGTGTCTCCTTCCAATATGAACCACATAAATCTACACTTGCAAGAACACAAGATACTGTTGGCTGCAAATTAGGTTCTCAGAAATGTGTTAGCATGCTTATTTCTTCCATCAATCTAAGGTGGTAGTGAATGATCATACATTCATAGCACCAAAAAATAGGAAGCTTGGTGTTGTAATGATTTGAATTTCTTTCATGTAATTCAACATCAAACAAACTATTTCAGTACTGAAAATGAATAAGCATCAGAAACTAAAATTAAATTATTTATCAGGGATATGCATGATGTTTAAAATGATCAATCAAGACCTTGCTAGGTGGCGACTCAAATAACTCATCCTCATACAAACTGCTTTCTTCATAATTCTCTTCCTTTTCTTTAGGAGAATCTTGGTCATATGTGAGCACGCCAATGAACTCGAAAACGTCATTCAGCTTTAGATCAGACTCAGGAGAATCATATATCTGCATTATTGAATAACCATGGGAAAAAGAATGTTAAAACACTGAAATAAAGTTAGCTACTTGTAGCTAAAGAGATGGAGAAAACTCGCCTTGACGAGACATGGGCAAATTCTTTCACACGCTGCAGTTGTATCCATTGAAGTGCGCATAGCTGTTTCTAGAGACTCTCTTGAATCTCTGGATGTGGAAGCAATTATGTCCTCTCTCTTATATAAGGAGAATGGATCAATTATTAGATTTAACCAAATACCAACTTAGAATATCCGACTATCAGATTCAGGAAATTCATCAAGAAAAGATTTTGCTTACCATCTTCTTGGCAGATGGGGAACCATGCACCTCATCTCGGGCCTGTTACCAAATGTGCAATTTTAGATTAGTAATTTGGTATCACTGAAACATATGCCATTACAGGGCAGATAAAAGGGATTGTATTACAGAAACGCAAATCACAATCCCATATGCCTCATAAACACAAACCCAACTGTAAAACCATCAAATATATAATCTAATAATACATGGTTACATCCATCCCATTGGATGTATCCTTGAGTAATGAGGAAGGATCTAAGTTGGACAACTTACTTTAAATAAAGGAAGTAAACTTACATATTTCCAAACTACAGCAAAAGCTGTGAAATAGCAATGACACGAATATTTCATTTTAAAAAATTTAAAACAATAGTAAATAAAATAACCTAACAAAGGATATGTAGTTTACCCATGAATAGTAACTAGGACAGTAAAATATGACAGGTGGAATACAACGCATTTTTAAAAGAGAATGCATGGCAAATTTCAGCTCCGGCACATAACCATGACATTGGATTGCAACAGAATAGTTTGTTTAGAAAAGGGTAGTAGTGTGTGGCAAATACGAAACAAGTGAAAATTTAGAGAATTACTTCCATATTCAGATCATCCATTATAGGATCATCTTCTCTCTGGCGCTTCTCCCTCTGCAAACAAGTATAAGTAGAGCATGTGATTGTATCCTTTAAAACTTCACAAGGCTCAGTGACTTCAGTCCACAGATTCTGCCCTGGTACCTGAACAAACATGAGTAATGAGCTTCTACCAAAGAATAAACATACTCAAGAACAGGTAGTTATACTAGTAGAAGATATGTAGGCAGATATTCTCATTGAAGGTGAAATAATAACACATGAACATGAAAGTATGTAACTATGACATAGAAGAACTCACAGGAACACAGTACAGCAAGCGGCGCTCCCAAACTCGCATCTCAGGTGTATCTCCCATTGGAAATTGAGAAATATCAGCAAACTTATTAGTTCTCCATGTATCCCCATCCTTGTTAATTAAGGGGAGAGAGAAAACAAAGTTAATACTAACATATCATCTATGTTTATAATAAATTAATAATGACATAGTCAAGAGAAAGAGGATTAAAAATGATACCTTATAGGCTCCAGCATAAAATTCATTACCCAACATGTCTTGAATCATTCCCCGGTATCGAACAAGAGTGTGAGGCTGTATCCATTTGATTGTCTGGGGATTAAGCACTGGAACCTATGTCACCAAAATATAATTGCATAAAAGCATTATTTGTTAATTGGTATTATATATTTATATGCTCTTAATTGACACCATGTGAAGATTAAAATTTTCTAAATTATCATCACGAGGTGCACTACTTTTAATTGGACAGCATGGTTAAGTAAGAATCTTATTTATGTTCCTTATCAACCAATGAAGTCATCAATTAAAGGTTTTCGCTAAGCAACTATGAGTCCTGTTGAAAATGATTAATACTTGAGCTTCGTTTCGAAAACTAAAAATTATCTAAATTCATCAATTCACACTAGATTCTATTAGTTAAATATTATATTTGCTCGTGAAATCAAACAAAAAACAATACGGAAGTTGAAAACAAAATTAGAGCTGTGTTTCAAGAGATGTTAAAAAAACCTCTGGGAGGCCGCCGTCTTCGAAGAGGAACTGCCGGAACAGTTCGGTGGCTCCCCAATCCCGGCCGGCGAAGGTGTCGGGATCAGAACCTGAAGCCACAGCCTTGTCAAACGTCAGTCTAACGGCTCCTAGTGGATTTGAAATGCAATCATACGGCCGCCCCACCATCTTCACTTTCTCAATCACTATGGTTGCTCCAGATGCTGTTAACACCTTTGGCGCAAATCTGCCGATAAGTAAGTTCTCTTTCCCGCCAGGTCGCTAGATTTTCCCGCCGAACGCAGTCCTCCTCGATGCTCCGTGCTGGTTAAAGTCCAGAAAAACAGCTGGGTCCATTTTAATAGTTGGGTGTATTGGGCTTAAATTCTACTAGAGAGTGTATGTATTTTAGAGGATGGGCCAGCCAAGAAGTTATTAGAGCTCCTACTAGGGGTGAACATATCCGTTTGATTTTATCGATTTTGTATTCTCCTCGATTTGAAACAGATTGAAAGAATAGTTTGGTTCAATTTATTTTCGTTCAGTTTCATTCAGGTTGAATCTGTTACTATCTATGTTTTGATAAGAAATAGTTGCATAATTATGACTGTAAAAAAGATTGACACAAAAAAATATACTTCATCCGTCCCTTAAAAGTTTGTCAACTTTCCTTTTTTGGATGTCTCATTAACTTTGTCACTTTCTCTTCAAAGTAAAGAATTTGTGGTTCCAGTTAATTCTTTCTCCTCTACACAAACCTTAACCACACAGTTTTTACTTTATTAATCCCCGTGCTGGTCAAACTTGACAAAGTTTTAGGGGACGAAGGGAGTAACATATTAACTATTAAGTGTAGCGACTATAGTACTAACTTTAGTCATATTTACTTAAGTTCGATCTTACACTTAACTTACCATGACACTAAACTCATAGTAACTTTAGTAGTCATAATTTTGTAAATATGTTTTATTTCAATAATACTTTTAAAGTAACCTCTTTTAATAATATAATAAAATTTTGTTGAACTTTTTAATCTGATTCAATTTTGTGTAGTTTTTCTCGACTTTTGTTCGGTTAACCTTAATGCGGTTTGAAATAAATGCTACCAAACTCAAATTGAGTTGCGGATTGCTCGGCTTCGCTTCAAATTAGTTCGATTTGATACTGTTCAAGCCTGTCTGGAATAGAAGATTTAAGCTGCATAGATTGAGCAATTAAGTTGATCAGTGTTATATCAACAAATTGTTAATTGATGGATTAGAATGAAAATTGTATGGAGTCTCGTATAAGTGGGTACACCATAATCATTTGTTTTTAAAGTAGGATCATCCACCATAAAAACGAAAGGCATCTGTGGAGCTACACAAACATCGCTATGACATGGGTTTTGGTTGTGAAGTCAATACATACATGGAGTTAGCTTTTGTATAGGGGTGGACCGGTCCAGGTCCGGTCTCGGTTCCGATCCCAGACCGGCCGGCCCCGGACTCAAATATTGAAGACCGGAACCGCCACGGGTTTATACAGACCCGGTTCCGGTCCGGTCTACCCGGCCAGTCCCGGTTCAGTCCGGGCCTTAATTTTTTTTTAATTATGAAAGTGTAGGATTGTAGGAATGTAGAAATTATAAATATTTATATAGTATTATTGTGTAATTGACAAAAAATGTAGAAAGTAAGAACTAGCTAACTACAACAATGTAGGGACTACTTATTAACTACAAATGTATATAATTAAATATATATGTTAAATACGAAAGTGTAGGAGTACATAAATATAATTGTAATATAATATATTTAATAAGAAAGATTGAAAGAGTAGGAGTAGGATTGTAGGAATGTAGACATTATAAATATTTATATAGTATTATTGTGTAATTAACAAAAATGTAGGAAGTAAGAACTAGTTAACTACAACAATGTAGAAACTAGTTAACTACAAATGTATATAATTAAATATATATGTTAAATATGAAAGTGTAGGAGTATATAAATATAATTGTAATATAATATATTTAATAAGAAAGATTGAAAGAGTGGGAGTAGGAATGTAGAAATAGGAATTATTAATATTTATATAGTATTGTTGTGTAATACTGGTTAACAAGTTTCTTCAACATCATTTGGAGAAACAACAAGATGCCAACGAGTTGGAGGAAGAGTACTCTTATCCCCTTATTTAAGAATAAAGGTGATGTACGAGAATGTGTCAACTAGCGAGGGATTAAGCTTATGAGTCACACCATGAAACTTTGGGAGCGAGTGATTGAGCAAAGACTTCGAAGAACTGTGAAGATTTCAGAGAATCAATTCGGTTTTATGCCTGGTCGCTCCACAACTGAGACCATTCACCTTCTTCGGCAACTTATGGAGAAGTATAGAGACGCTCATAAGGATCTGCATTTGGTGTTCATTGACTTAGAAAAGGCACATGATATGTACCTCGATAAATTCTTTCGGCGGGCCTTAACTAGGAAAGACACATCACCAAGTATATCAGCTTCATCATGGATATGTATGAGGATTGTACTACAAGTGTCCGTACTAGTGTAGGAAGGACTGAAGAGTTCCCTATTACTATCGGAGTGCACCAAGGATCGGCTCTGAGCCCTTTCTTATTTGCCATAGTCATGGATGAGTTTACGAAGTCAATTCAAGACGGTATAGCGTGGTGCATGATGTTTGCCAACGATATTGTATTGATTGATGAGATGCAATCCGGTCTTAAAGCAAAGTTGGAAGTATGGCGACAAACATTGGAGAATACAGGTTTCATACTAGGTCGGAGCAAGACATAGTACATGGGGTGGAAGTTTGGTGGAGGTAGAAGCAATGATAATAGCGGAATTACTCTGGATGGTAAGGAGATACTAGTCAGCGATATGTTCCGTTACTTGGGTTCCATTATTCAGAAGGACGGTGAGTTGGATGGAGATGTATCCCATAGAATCAGAACACGGTGGATGAAGTGGAAGAGTGCGTCAGGATTTCTATGCGATCGAGGTATGCCGACTAGACTGAAGGGTAAATTCTATAGTACGGTTATTAGGCCGGCATTACTGTATGGCGTAGAGTGTTGGGCGGTGAATCAATGTCACATTCAAAATATGAGTGTGGCAGAGATGCGCATGCTGTGTTGGATGTGTGGGCATACTAGGAAGGACCACGTGAGGAATGAGACAATCAGACAAAGGGTGGGAGTAGCACCTATTGAAGACAGGATGCGGGAGTCGCGCCTACGGTGGTTTGGTCATGTGCGTAGAAGACCGAGTGATGCACCTGTCAAACGAGTTGAGATGTGTGGAGAAGAGGCAGAGAAGAGAGGGAGAGGGAGACCCAAACAGACTTTGGAGAGAGCTAAGTGGATAGCGGAGCGGGTATTCGTGTGGAGGAGTGATCTTGTATCATCTTTCTCTCTCATCTTTTTTCCTTGTTTTTTATCCTTATATATAAGCATTATTTGTATCCTTTTTATTTTATCATTTTTATGTATATTCATCTCTTTTTATATCATTTTTTATCATAGCTTATCTTTTTTATCTTCATTTCCTTTCGTTTCCTTTTGACGGTGATATCATGTATCGAATCATGTGAGCCGACCCTAGTATCTTTTGGGACTAAGGCTTAGATGTTGTTGTTGTTGTATTGTGTAATACTAAATAAGTATATAAATATAATTATATTATGAATATATATTATTACGAAAGATTAAAGTGTAAATGTGATTAATATAGAGTAGAATTAGTGATTGAGAAATTGAGAATTGAGAGTAGAATTTTAGTAGAAGTAGAATAGTGTGAAAAAATGTATAAAATGAGTAGGTATATATAGGAAAACAATTGATAATCACCACCCCCAAACCCCTCCAAACCCCTCCCCAACAGCCTTGTAGCTGTTACTAGTCGTTCCAAACAGCTAGCTTGACCCCAGCTAGACCTGTCAACGGGTTGGGTACGGGTCAGAACGTAGTATCTCAGACCCGGACCCGTTAGCCTCTATAGGGTTCCAGACCCGATCCATTTACTCGACGGGTCTAGAACTAATGTTCCGAACCCGTACCCATTGGGTCTCGAAACCGAGCCGGATAGACCCGACTCATCTCACGAAAATCCAAATCTAATTTATTAAATAAAAAATAGGACCTCTTACTATCGAGTACTTTTCTGGCAACAATATGGCACGTGAACTGTAATTACTTGTCTGTAATTACTCAACCAAACGCAACAATTGTGAGTTGGTTTATAATTTGCAAGATACGTAGTGTTAGAATAAAGAGTAAAGTTAATGGTTTTGGAAACTGAACATGTTTTTTCTTAAATCCTATGTGGTCTGTGGACTTTAGGGATCCTTTGGATTTATTAAACTAAATCGTAATGTGAGCGGCAACTAATGTAATATGTATATTAGACTAATGAGTGTGTATTAACGGGTCGGATCCTAAACGGGTCGGAACTACATAGTACATATACCACACCCGACCCATTAAATAACGGGTCCGGATCCGGGTCCGGGTAATGGAATTAAATGTAAATCCATACCCATTAAAAAAAGACGGATTCGGGTCGGGTTTGGGTCTGGACCCGACCCATTGACAGGCCTAGCCCCAGCCCTAGCCCACCCCCCTAAATAATATTTAAAAAAACGTTGGGACCGAAACCGGGAACGGAAACGCCCGGTCCGATCCCCAAACCCCAGACCCGGGACCGACTACGCATCCTACCCGGTCGGGTACCCGGTCCAAGACCGAGACTGGAAAACCGGACCCAGTCCGGTCCCACACAGTGGCGGGTCCGGTTCCAGTCCGGTCCGGGAGCGCCGACAGGGCTCATCCCTACTTTTGTACCTCGTAGTTAGGGGGTGTTTGCTGTTTCGAATCAAACTGAAAGTCGAATTGAATCACCAATTTCTAATTCTAAATTTCAAGACATCGCATTTGTATAGTACATGTCCCTATATTGGCGGTTCCAATCTGAATCCGGTTTGGTTGCGATTCGATTTGACAATTTCAATTTTATTTTATTTTTTAGATATAAAATTTATTATATTTGTTTAAAATAGATTATGTGACGACTAATAAGATTGTCCAATTGAAGTGTTCCTAAATATTATTAGTATAAGTAAGCAAATAAGTAGTATAACATTCTTGTCATACAACAACATAAATATGAAATATAATAATATTTGCATTCCTTGCATCATACGGGTCCCGTACCAGTTTTTTCTAATATAACTAATAGGAGTATGATTTTTAATATTCCGTATTATTACAGAGTATCAACCCTAATATTTGATAAAACACATTAACATGAATTTCTTTTGTGGTATTTGTTTTTTTTTTTGTGTGTGGTGTTTTTAATAGGCATAATTGTCATTAGCCTTATAAAAAGAGT